TAACTTTGCTAATAAACTCAAAGCTTTTCACTGGATTTTGCCATGAAATGAGGTAACAAAAGTACATTAAACGGCCTTGAAGAATATTTCAAGATCCATTGGCTGCTCTGCTACAGATAATGCAATTTCAAGATGAAGTACTTTGAGTTACAGAAGTTAAGGTAGTTCAAAGAGCAGAATGATGATGATGTATGACAAAATAGAGTCTACATTGCAGATTGTAGACTGAACAGAATTTTAGGAAACCAGAGTGATAAAAACCAGTCCATAAAATTTTTTGAATTTGTATATAACTAGATACAGCTGTTCTGTGTTGCTTTTTATTGTGTTGTTTTGCTTTATTTTTGTTGTTATTTGTTATTATTTTACTTTTTTTTCCTGGTTCCAATTGCTAATACATTGCTAATACATATACAAACACAGATACAGATAGGCATCTAATATAATAGCCGTAAAATACATGGTTAGCAAGTGCCTGACACAGAAGTGTACTATATACTATGAAGAACACAGGTATATATCAAGATTCAGAGATGATATTTACCAGCACAGTGACTAGAGCTTTTATAGCCTTACATCAGTTGTGCAAGGGAAAAAATCTCCCTGCCTGTGATTCACAAGCAAGGATGAGTACCTATTAATAAAAATATATATATTTAAAAAAGAGTTTAAAGTGCACTCGTATCCTAATAAAATGATATTTTCCACAAAGATAACTAAAATCAAGAAAGAGAATGCTCCAATTAACATTACAACTGGAACGAAGTTATGTATTTTTAAAATATACTACGAAGCCAATGGCTGCATTTCAGGTGAACACAAGTGAGTTTCAAATAGTGAAATTACCTGTCTGAGATTTAAGAATGTGTAGTAATATTAATGTAACAAATATAATATTCTTTCTAGATCTCTGAGGCAACTGTTAGACCTACCAAGATTGCTGTTTATTGAGAAACTCAGGCAATTTTCCATTATTCAATCTAATTGCTCTCAATTCAAAATTAGAACCCCCAGTTTCCCCTTTTGGCAAGTTACAAAGACAGTTTCCAGCTCTCACAATGCCAATGAGCTAAGATGCTAAGGTAGCAATTTCTGCAAATGTGGATAGATACAAGCTATCACACGCACTTGCTCAATTTCTAAAGGCTATAAAAATTAGTCACCAGCTGGCACATATCTGTAGGGTTTGCAGTCTTGAGCTGTCTTCTGCTTTAGACTGGCCTCAGGACAGCAGCTGTCTACATCTCGTTGGTCCAAGAGGAAACTACCTGTGTTGCTTAGCTTTAGGGATGTATTGTTATTTTTATCTAACCCCCTAAAGATTTTCCAAAATATTGAGAGTGTCCCATTTTGCATCTCTGAAATGTGCTGCTTTTTCTCCTCTTGCTGTCTGCTTTGACTCAAGAGGATTACCTTCAATTTAGTTCCATGTCAAGCCCTGAAAACTGACTTTTTGCTGACAACTTAGATACTTACAGCAATATATATATTGCAACACTATATAAATTACAAATATATTCAAGTATATTGCATATATTTGAAGAAATGTCAATAGAAGAGCCTCAAAATATGAAGTTTTAGGAAAAAGAACAGAATATGATGCAACTCTTACACCAAAGTCCCAGATAGTGCAATAAATGAGTTGAAGGGATAAGAGATTAATAGAAGATGATGTCAGTTTCTGTCATTTCCTCTGGCTTTTTAGTTTCCCCGATGACCAAATTCACCAATATTTTATCTGACCTCACAGATGCTCTCACTTCACCTATCAATCTTTTGCATTCTTTTAGCCATTCTTCAGTGATTCTTGGTGTTATTAGCAGCAGGGGGGTGAAATCAAGTCATTTTCTTACCCTACCTAGAGGAAGGTGACCCACGATGAAAGAATTGAGTGGTGAGGTACTGGAACAGGCTGCCCAGAGAGGTTGTGGATGCCCCGTCCCTGGAGGTGTTCAAGGCCAGATTGGATGGGGCCCTGGGCAGCCTGGTCTGGCATTAGGTGGGATGGTTGGTGGCCCTGCGTGTGGCAGGGGGGTTGGAGATTCATGATCCTTGAGGTCCCTTCCAACCCTGGCCATTCTGTGATTCTGTGAATTGTCTGTAGTTACAATAATATGAAATTTAGTTAAGTCAAGAAAAATAGCATTAGCAGAGTATGACATAGTATGGAAAAAGACGTCTAAATACCAAAGCCTCATTCAAAGAGGGTTATTTATTTCATGCTTTCCCTGTTTCATCCATATGATAGCTAATATAAGCTTCTAAGGGAAACTACTTTTCTTAATACTTATAAAAACACACAAAATGTACTCTAAATTATCACCTTACTTTTAAACGGTTATTTGTATTCTTCAGCAATGAATTTAAGTTACATATAAAAAGCAAATCATGTAAGATCAAAATCCTGTTTCACACATCACTTCTCATGTTTCCACAGTATATTCACACTGTAGAACATACTACAATCATGTACTTCAGTTTTCAGCCAGTTTCTCTTCACATTTCTTATTATGAGGACTGACAGATTCTCTTAAGTTCAGGGAGGACTTAAAAGGAACATGTTCTCTGCACTGGTCTCAAATGTGATAATTCCCTCAGTTAGCATAATATAAAAAAGAGAATTTGAGTCAGCATGATACATAGGCAGGAGCACTCCAGTACATCAGCATATATATATAGCGTTAAGAGTTTGTAAGCTCAGTGCCTGAATTTAATTCCCTTGCACTGCACCATCACTTCCACATAAAATAATTGCATTTTGTTTAAACAAGTTGACAGATCAGAAGCCATGAGAAAGAAATCCTCTCCAAATGCGCCAGACTCTTTAATCTTCATTTCGCAAAACTCAGGCATTGTGTATTAAATTAACCTCACTTCCAGTTTAACTGGAAGATCCTGTAGGACACAGCCAATTAAATAAATTTAAGGAATTAAGCTTAAATATGGTTTCCCCTTCCCCACAGTAGCAATGGATTCTTTCTCCAAAACAAAGCTAAGGAGAGTGTACCTGGTGGCTCTGATACAGATCTCATTCCTTGAAAACAATTAGGATGTAATGAAATGGAACCTGGCACCAGAAGAATTTTAAATGTCTGTATTTTTTCTGAAAGTTAACACATTCCCCCAAGCACTCCTGGCCATTGCTCCAGAGAGATGCATTAGATACCTTCTATGAGATTTCCAGACAGGACAACTTCTGATGTTCATTTGTCCTCAAATGCCTGGTTGTGTTGCTGAGCTTTTTGAATATGAACACAAAGCAGGCACCCCGTGTTCACAGAGTTACTTCTTCTTGACCCCTACAGAGATAAATCTAGCATTTGTGAACCAATACCTGGATAATTCTTAAAGTGGCACAGCATCACTTACCACCATACATAGCAGGCAAATCCACCTTTTCTCCCATCTCTCTATAAAACACCTGAAATTGAGCAGGGCAGCAGGATCCAGGTGTCAGCAAGCTTGGCTGGGAAGGCTGACAGCATCCACAACCTCTCTAGGCAGCCTGTGCAAGGGCTTCACCACTCTCTCAGTGAAAACCCTTGACATCTAATCTAAATCTTCCTTCCTTTAGTTTAAAACCATTCCCCTTTGTCCTATCACTACCTGCCTCTGTAAAAAGTTGATTTTCCTCCTGTTCATAATCTCCCTTTAAATACTGGAAGGCTATAATTAGGTGTTTCCACATCCTTCTCCAGGCTGAACAAGCCCAGCTCTTTCAGTCTGTCTTCATAGAAGAGGTGCTCCAGCCCTCTGATTATCTTCAGGGCCGTCCTCTAGACCCTCTTCAAAAGCTCCACATTTTTAATACACTGGGGGCCCCAGGCCTGGATGCAATAGTCCAGATGTGGCCTTATGAGGGCAGAATAAAGAGAGATAACCATCTCCTTTGCCCTGCTGATCACCCCTCCTATGATGAAGAGTCCAGCAATTACAGGCTTATGAGTCTGAATTCAGTGCCTGGTAAAATTATGAAGAAAACTATGCTGAGAGTTACTGAAAAACATCTGAAGGATGGTGTGGTCATTGGTCAGAGTCACTACGGGTTCATGAGGGGAAGATCCTATTTAACTAACTTAATTTCCTCTCATGACAAGATCAGCCATCTACTTGACCAAGAGAAGCCAACTGATGTTATCTTTTTGGATTTCAGTAAAGCTTTCAATGCTGTTTCTCACAGTATCCTCTGGACAAAATGTCCACCACATGGCTAGACAAAAACATAATGTGATGGGTGACCAATTGGCTGATGAGTCAGGCCCAAAGGGTTATAGTAAGTGGGATTACATCAGGCTAGCAGGGTTCCGCCAGGGCTCTATTTTAGGGCCAGTTCTCTTTAATGTTTTCATAAATGATTTGGATGTAGGACTAAAAAGGTCTTTTGAGCTGGTTTGCTGAGACTAATAGATTGGGAAGGGCTGTTGAGTCCATCAGGGTGGAGACGCCTTGCAAAAGAGATCTGCAAATAGAGAACTGGACAATCACCACCCACATGAAGTTTAACAAGAGCAAGTGCAATATTCTGCACCTGGGAATGGACAACCCGTGGCTATACATACAGGCTGGAGGACAAGAGTTTTGAGAGCAGCCCTATAGAAAGGGATCTGGGGTTCTGGTTAATGGAAGTTGAACACAAGTAACGATGTGCCCAGACAGCCAGGAAGGCCAGCTGTATCCTGGGGTGCCAGCCGAGCGAGGGAAGTGGTTTTCCTACTGTACGCTGCACTGGTGCAACCCTACCTTGAACACTGTGTGTAGTTTTGGGAACCACACTACCAAAAGAACATAAAACTATTACAGAGTGTCCAAAGGAAGTCTACAAAGATGGTGAAGGGTCTAGAGAGCAAGGTGTGTGAGGACCAGCTGAGGTCCCATGGTGTCCTCAGCCCAGAGCTGAGGAGCTGAGGGGAGGCCTGATGGCGGCTGCAGCTCCTCACAGGGAGCGGAGGGGCAGCGCTGAGCTCTGCTCTGTGTGACAGCGACAGGGCCCGAGGGAACGGCATGGAGCTGTGTCAGGGGAGGGCAGATGGGGAGTTAGGAAAGGTTCTTCACCAGAGGGTCGTGCAGCCCTGGAAGAGGATGCCCAGGGCACTAGCGATGGCCTTAAGCTGCCAGAGATCAAGAGCTATTGGGACACCACTCTGAGACATAGGGTTTGATTTTGGGTGATGCTGTGTGAAGCCAGGAGTTGTACTTGATATTCCTTATGAGTCCTTTCCAACTTGGGATATTCTATGATTTGTTATGTCAATAACATTTTAGATAAGGATAATCTATCAATGTTTACCCAAATTTCCACCATGAGCAAGGAAAAAAGCACATTAGATATTCCTCAGAGTCACACAAAGGGCACGGCCTCTTCATCCACTGCAGCCAGGCGGCTGGCCAGCAACTTGCTCATCTGAAAACTGAACTCAGTAGATACATTTGTGTGAAATTCAGTATAAACGGTGAGACTTTGAAGGCAGAAAGACAAAGCATATGTAGAATTTAAAATTTTATTATCTCCGGCACAACATTAAGGCATATTCCACCATTACTCTTGATGAAATCTTACAGTGAGAAGGAGACTCAATCACTTCTCCTTGTTTTTTTTGCTAACCACAACACTGAGTTGCAAGCAAGTAAAAAAAACAAACCTTGTAAAAGCTCTCGGGTTTTAGATTTTGCTGAACTTGTTTGGAAAACACTTAATTTAGATTCTATTAGTTTTTAATCAATCTAGTTGAAGAAATTATTCTTTTGGCTGCTTTCACTGAAAACTTCGTTAAAAGCAAATTATAGCTCTCTGATTGCTACAGGCTGGAAAACCTTCCCCTTTTTCACTCATAGCAGCTTACTTCTCTATTTCTAATCACAGCTGCTGAGTAGTCTGTTCCAGACAAGGAAAATGGGTGCATAGAATCCGATTTCAAATTATTTTCCAATAAAGTTTAATAGGTAATAGATTTAGGACGATTTTTTTTTCCCCAGACAGCTCCTTTTTGAATACCATCTGTAAATTGTGATTCAGAGACAAGAGACTCAGATACGAATAATGTTTGATCTATGTCTGGCAAGCACAACTGCTATCATTAAACTGGGCTTTTATGAGGCTTGTTGAATGTTCATAAGCAAACTTAAAGCAAATCTGAATGCATAATGAAGTTAGAATTTATATTAAGCTGGCATAGTTGAAATGAAGTTACAAGAGAAACAAATTCAATGTAAATTATTTGGAAGTACGGAGGAAATAAGTTATCATTTTATCAAAGAATTATATGTAAAAATAGGCAAATAAGCACAACTTCTTTATCATACAGAAAAGTCAAATACAACATAGCAAGCATGGAATTTGTGGTAAATGGACGGCCATAGATTTCTCTTATTTCCCATAATTGTTATGGAATCAATCTCAAAATCACCATTCTTGTATAGCAATCCATTCAGCTCTTTTATCTCATCATCAGATCTTAAATTAACTTGGTGACTTTCAGCAGCTGAGAATTAGGGAAGGACAGTTTTGTTTAATCTCACTGGAGAAAGGTCAGTCCTTGCCAACAAAACTATTTCCTCTTCTACTAATATAAGACCTAGTTAGGCAAACAGAATTGAGTAGAACTTGCCAGCTTTAACAATCAAGCCTTAGTTAAAAAACAAACAAACAAAATGAAAAAATGGTTATTTCCTACAATCAATGGGCTTTTTCCTACAAGCAAAATCCTCTTGAAGACTGGGGCTACACAGGAGTTCAAGGATACCGTGAGTAATATCGACACTTATGAGAAATAAAAGTACTTTGTAACAAGGGGAATTTCAACTTTAAAAGAGGAACCTTTTGGGCAAAAGCTGCATATGTGCATTTGCAAGAGGGCAGTGCTGATTTTCTCTGTCCAAGTCTTTCAGCATGTAGCGGAGAACAGAGGAAAGAATGAACATTTATATCGTCAAGATCCGTGCTGGAGTATTTTGCTGCCTTTGAGACAGGAAGCCTGAAGAAAGAAATTAGGTACTCCCTAGTATTGTGATAATGCTTTCAGTTAACTGTGTCGGCTCTTTTAGTCATGTGATAATGATTTGAGCAATTACTGAGAAAAGCATTTGTAAAGCTCCTACTAATATATAGGAGCACACACTTGTAAAAATGTAATTGCTATTAGGAAAGTAGCTCCACAGCTGCTCTCTATTTCATTTGAATCACAGCTGCTAATCATTGCAGCTTCACACACACATCCCTTATTCCCTGGAGCAAGATGATCAATTTATAACAGAATGAGGGATTGCCTATGATAGCACTAGCACAATTATTGCTTTAATTCCTAAAGCAGGGCATTTATAATCAGAAACTAAGAAAGAAAATAATAATGTGGATCTGCAAGGCGTTTTCTGATTATGTATATCATAAAAACGGCAATCTCTAATTTATACCAGTAGGCAGGAGAATTGGGTACTTTCATCTCATCTACTGTAATGCTGGTGTTTGGGGGAAGGGATCTAAAACCAAAAGGCAAAATCTCTTCCTTTAACTTTATAAATCATTTAATGTGCGGTGAGAAGCACTGTGAGAAAATAAGAATATGTCCCCGGAGTGATTAATGCTCTAAAACTGGGAGCAGCACAGTTTGGCTTATCTAACTCCACTTCTGAACATCACATCTTCATTTAATAATTGAGATCTATTGCAGGAAGAAAAATGTAGTTTCTGATTAGTGATGCTCCTGTTTAAGAAGCAGAATGAAGTTTGCATCATGTGTCTAGCTGTGTTTTTTAAAGACACCCACCGAAAACCAAGCATATAATACTTGAGGACCAAACGTATGGTGCATGGCAGCTAAATCTTTTTTGGGTATATTTGGGTATAGGTTAGGAATAAATTGTAAATTCATTCTTTCATGTATGGTATATATATTCCCATCCAAAGCACCCAGAAAACTGCCATTTGAGGTTGTCTGTGTAATATGCTGTGCAGCCCTGGGGTGAGCTTTGGCCCCAGTACCATCCATTAATTTACCATCTTCAGGCAAAGTGACTGCTGCAGAAGTCAGTCTCAGAAGAAGGACAGCCTGGTAGTGAGCATTTCAATTCCCTCTCAGCATGAACTATTGATAAGTGAATCAGGCATTTGTGGTTTCCCAGCTGAGAATTTTGCTTGACTAAAATCAAGGCAAGTGCAGAGGCTGGGAAAGGAGGACAGATGTCACCTGATGAGGTTATCTGTCATGTAGAAGAGGTGGTTCAACTAATTGATCGATTCTGTGACAAGGCATAGCAAGTACAATGACCTGACCTGTCCTGTAGGTGGAACTCACAGTTAATCCCAGTGAGTGTCTCATTCTGGTTGATGATGCTTTTTCTCTCTAAATTCCCCCTGCAGTTTCAGCTAGGTAGAGTACTTGTTCGTGTCCTGAGACTTGTGCCGTGGGACTGTGCATTGAGCTGCTGTGGTCTCTTTCAGAGATACATTCCCTTTGGTTGTGGAGGAAGAGTTTTGCTTGCAGAGGCAGTGGAATGCTCCGTGATCTTTGGACCAAAGGTATTGTTTAAATAATTGGTGTTATTTAATTTTTATTAGAAAACTAGATTCTGTGTGTTAGAGCACAGTGATCCTAGAATCACAGAAAAAGTCAGAGGTCTCCTGAAGATCTCATAGATAACAAGAGGATCTTGCTGAAAGAGGGAATAGTGGGAAGGAAAACAAAATGCATTAAGAAATTGAGAATTACACATACAGACTTATTACAAAGGTAACAACAACATAATAAACCAAATTTAACTTAGAGTAAAAGAATGTTCTAAAAGAGAATGAACTGGAAAAAAAAATAGCAATTGATTGCAACAATGCCAGTTTCTTGCTGGAAAAACACATAGGAAACACAAGTTGACTGGAATATGATATGTTTTGAAAATAGTCCATTGTTGGATATTTATGTTGTATGGCCAAGCAATTGAGTGGAGGGAATCCTATCATTCTTAGACCTTGTTATGTTAAAGGAATTTCCTTAAGTTGTTCTTTACTTTGATAATACTTGCTCAGATTGACCTGTGTTTGCAACAGAAGAGAAGGCTGAGTCTTAATTGCTGATGTCCTGTCTCCAGGAGGCTCACAACAGCTCATGGAGCTACCCAGTGTTGCACAGCATGGAAATTTTAGAAAAATTCCCTACTCAAGAAAAGTCAAAAGAGTAGGTTGCTAGTTTAGTAATCAGTTATATTTTGAGAGCATGGCAAAATAAAAGGGAAGGAGAGTCTTCCCATAGAAGATATGTACCTGATGTAATAAAATAAACCAGATATATGTTCTTAATACACTTGAAAAGTACATTTTGAAAGGAACTGAAGGAACGTATGAGTCAAAGACCACATATTTGACAATATCTGTCTTTCAAAAGGCAATGAATACATCCAACAGAGAAAATGCGGTAAAAAGAGAGCAAATGAAAACCAAGGGGAAAAAAAATGATATAAAGCTCTTTTTTATTCACAGATCTTCATGCTTTGCTGTGCATATATGTGTTGAATTTTGAGTGACAAGAAACAGAAAGCACAAGCCAATTTAAAATGAATTCCAGAGGGCTTTCTGGCAGTCATCCTCAAAAAGTAAAAAGGGCAAAGTCACTTTTTTTTCCTCAGATATCTATTTTAGAGTTCTTCAGGTAGGGCATCCCTCGTATGCAGCAAAATGACTTCTCTCAAACTGCTTTTGACCAAATGAAAGCAGTCATGAATAGGACCACTGAATTACATATGCTCACATGGTTTCTCCTCCTTTCAGTAAACAAAGGCTCGAACGGAACTACTAGCTGCATACTGACATAATTTCAAATAAAATATTTCTCCATTTCTAATCTCTAACATCTACATCTGATCTATAATCCTGAGTCACTGGCAGTAATAGATGATCAAGTTTCAAAAAACAAGAAAGACACTTGCCACATAAGTACCCAGACCTTAGTTAGCAAGGAAAGATGTTTACTTCCATGAAGACAAACATAACTCTGGATGTCAGAGAAAGTTTTTAAGCTATGGACCTTCAAAGGACTCCTATCTCATCCATTGTCACTGACATCTTGAAAAAATGCCTCTTCCATTGGATACAGCCAGCAAGCGATTGGAAAACCATGAAGATACAGGGAGCCACAATGTTCTGCATTGGAGGAGGGGGCACGTGCATGGTACCAGGGCAAAAGTTGTTCCCCATCATTTGCCAGTAGTGCACCATCTTACCTGGACCATTTTGACTCCTTAACAATTCTGGGATATAATCAATCTTTCAGTGGCCTGCAGTTATAAAAAAGCATTGGGCACAAAATTTATATTGAAAATGTCTGAGAAATTATGTAAATAGCCAACACAGAGTGTCTGATTGCCTTTTCTCTTCTCAGCCTTCTGGACCGTGCCTGAAAGAACTTGCATCAGCTGATTAAGGACATCCTTTAAATAAAGAAAGAGAGTTTTCTCACAACACCACAGTTTAATGGCCCACATCATGGTTCAGCAACTGTCTTTGAAGCAGCTCATCTAAGAGCAACAGAAGTCACACTGTGATCTCCCTCTCCAGGACATGTGGAAATCCTGAAGCATCTTGGAGCCCTCAACATGCAGGCAGCCCTGCAACCACCATCTGGAAGACAGCAGCCAGGAAACTCTGTGGGACCTTTGAGACTTTTGTCTTCAGCTCCAAAGCTAACCCATAAAGAAAGGCATGGAGAAAGTGTTATCTGTTGTGGGTTTTTGTGTGTATTTTTTTCCCCCTCGAGTTTTGTTTTTCTCTCTTATTTTCATTTCCAGTTTTGGTCTTTGCTCCTGTGAGAATGTCATTGCAAAACATGCCTTGTTATAGCAGTACAGTCATTTATATTTCCAGTTGCTAAATTGTTTTTAATTCTCCTCTTCTAAATCTTCATTAGATCCAAAAAAACAAGGCTATTGTGTTCATTATTTTTCTTTGTTTGACTAGAAGCAAAAATTTTTATTCACAGGAGCAAAAACATGACTGCTGAGAAGGAGCTCCTGTAGGTTTCTGTGGCATAGGCACAGGCAAGTTGGCATAGGTAATTTTATTTAGACAATTAGTTGTGTGGTTCAACTGAGTGGGCCCCAAGATAAACATTCACCACCTAGCAGGGTGGTTTGTGCTGTGGAGCAGAAGGAGAATGAGCTCTGCTTATAGCAATGGATCTTGTACAAGCTCCCTCTCTTCTGCTGTGACTTTGGTGAGTGTCACTGATCACAAAGAATGTTATCTGTATCCTTTGGCGCATCCAAGTTTCTCTATCCTCTTTCCTAAGAAAAGGGTGAATCTGGAAAAAATATGGTTTTGTGTTTTGCAGTACACACACAGAAAACACAACAGCTGACTGAGGGAAATTCTGTGTTAAACAGAAAAATACACTTGCTCCCAGAAATCTGTGGTAAAAAAGATCAAAGTGTACAAGCTTAAAATAAAACATGGCAAAAAAAAGGGGAAATAGAAGACAGCAATCACACTTCTTTTTTCATGTAAGAGCTGAAGAGTTCTTACACCTTCTCCACTAAAAAAGAGCATTCTTTGGAATAATTCAGAAAGCAGAGTGGAGCACCTTGGATGGCATGGTGTGAAGGCTTCTCCCAGACATGTGGAAATAGCACAGGAAAAACACAAAGGCACTGCTATCCATCAGCTGTAAGACAGTAGATGCAGAAGTTCTCTCTCCTACAAATAAGAAATACTTGGAGAAAGGGCCTTGACTGTTAAACAAGATTATATAGGTTCACTATGTGAAGTCAGTCACAGAAGTGTTCTGCTTATGAGATGAGTCAAAGGGCTTTTTTTCTTAAATAGATACTTTTTTTTTTTTCTTGACCAAACCATGTGACACGTAGCCTCAACTCTTTAAACCCCATAGGATTAATTTCAGTTGTCTTTCATTATAGTGAAAGAAAGGTTCCTGTTACACAATGGAAGGTTACCCATTTCATCACTTCTGGTAGTTGACATCATTGTGCTGCCTGTCTCCACCACCTACTTCTCCTGTGTTATCCTCTCTTCTTCCTCTGCTTTCAATTCCCCATCTTCTTCCATGTTCAGCTAAGGGCAGGCATGCTCCCCATTCCTCTCTCCTCTGTGCCAGTTGTTCTGGGTACTCTGGCCCTTTGCAGTCCATACACTCTGTGCCCCTCCCATGGCATACCCAGTAACCTTGAACCTCACCACAGTCACTGTAAACCAGAGGTCTGTCATAGCATGCTTCTGGTTGCTAATGGCTGTTAAAGCACAGAGAAACATTTCCACTAGTTGAAGGGAAATGTGAGATTAACTTTCTCAAAAATCTCTCTTGAAACTTCTTCCTGTTTTACTGCTACTCGGGGAGCACTGGAGAAGGCACTGCAGTGTTTTCAACCTCTAAAATACTTCTTTAATTTTTCCTTCTTACAGCATCATGGAGGTCTACATATTCTTTCTTTTTGCCATAACACTTCTCCCAGGTAAGAAGCAGATTTTTAATTGTAAAAAATGTTTAAATTATTTGTGTCCTGCTATGTGATACATTTACATTTACTTTGATGCTCCTTCTTTAGTAGTAATTAGCAATTTCAGTTGTAAAATCAAAGTCATATAATCTGTGTGATATGTATTTAACTGTGAGCAGGGACTCTATAGAAAAAAATGTAGAAAGTACTTTCTCTCTTCAATTTTATATCTTTACATTACACATTCTTCATGTTGCTCTTAAATTTTCAATTTAAATCTATTTTTGAGAACATGTGCATATCCCCTCTGTATATAAGAGAGGACAGCAGTATTGAGCTAAAGACTGACAGCTTGATAAGGAATAAATGGAGTTTTAGGCAGCTATGAAGATCACTGCAGCCTTGTGCTCCTGAAAATCAGTCAAAACTTTGATTCAGGAGAGAAAGAGTGAATCTTTTGAACACAGCAAATGTGTTTGTATCTGCTAGAACAGAGGTCTGCATTTCTCATGACAAGAAAAGACAATTCTCCCAGCCCATCTCTACCCCATAATATCAGTGGATATAGGTTGTGATGAAAATAGGAGAATTATCATCCTGTATGTAATATAGTCCATTCTTTTGATACATGAAGGCATAATTGTGTTTATTGACTATTTCTGTTAACAAGTTCAGCAACAGGACTGTTAAATCCGACGTGTAATTTGCCATTAAATTCTAGATTAATTACAGAACAGTTAAATCTGACATTTAATTTGTCATTAAACTCTAGATTAATTCTTCAGTGAAACAGAAAGCTTACCCTGTTTCTGACCTCCTGGCCATATATTCCCTAGACACCAACATTTACCACACATGCTGCATTTACACTGTCTTCAAAACTGCAGCGCTGTGTTGTTTCCTGAAGAGAATGACCTCAAATTTTGAAAAACAAATTATGCAGTTGCCTCATTCACGACAGAATCTCATTGCATACACATTTGAGAAAAGTGTGGAGCTGTGGCCTTTGGCCTGAAGTTAAATCTTCCAAAATACAGACTCTCCCTGGCTCTGAGCGGTAAGCCTGCCTTGGAAAGTGAAATATAGGAAGGAAAATAAGAAACTGATTTATGACCCGAATGCCACAAGACTAAGTGCATCGGTGTGAGGAAGTATGTATCCTCTCAAACCTAGTGGGAGAATTTGTCTAAATGCTGGTGGGTTTATGCTACTGTCACTAAGTGTTGCCTCCATGACTGCAAGTATTTGGTATTCTTTTGCAGCTGATGGAAATCTTAATTTCTTCTCCGTTTTTTTTATTTATTTAAGGTATTGCTGCCAATGTACATCACGTGAAGTCATTTCTTGATCACACTGCATACCTATCTTGCTATTTTCCAAACTCTCAGAAAAATGACATAAAGAATATAATAGTTTTTTGGCAAAAAGATACAGGTGAAGTGGTACATGAAGTTTTCCTTGGCCAGGAAATACACGATCACCTTAGTCCTAAATACATAAATCGTACCAAGATGGATATGGACAAATGGACCTTGCAACTGTTAAATGTAAGGATTGTGGATGAGGGGCAGTATAAATGTATTATTATGCACATGGACAAGGGACCAAAAAAGATCATACACGAATCTGAGTGCTTACTGCACATCACTGGTAAGTCATTTCTGCTAATTGTCATCTGGTTTGTTTTTGTTGTTGTTTTGTGAGCTTGTTTGTTTGTTTGTTTTCTTTTCTTTTTAGGTTTCTGTCACTTTGTTTAGTTCAAACATGGACTATTCCCATGCCACTGGGGGTTTAGCTGAAGTGGAGAGAATTTCTAAAGTGGATAAAAGTGTTTTTTCTCAGTTTCTTTCTCTTTCTCAGAAAATTCTCATTGTGAATTTGGAAGAAGTAGAAAAAACAAGGAAATAATTTGCTCAATATTACACATTCCTGACTCCCACCCTGTCACACTCTATAGTGAAAACCACCCTGCCTTCTTCATCTTGCTCCCTGCAAGTTTTGTGGCTTCTAGAACTCCAGAAAATACAGTTTTTATTTGCATCTGAAGCACTGCCTTCTATTAAAAGCAATAGCATTAAGAATGTTGGTGGTAAATTACAGTTGAAACATAAAAAGATTTCTGCAAATATTCAGCTATTTTATGATGATATAAATCATAGGAAAAATGTAGAAAAGAGCAGCTAATATGTGGAGGAGTAGAACATCATATGCTCAGTTATGGAAAGACTGAAAATATCTCTGCAGAAAAAATGCAGGCATTGATCAGACTCAGCTTGATTTCTGGCACATTATCAGAGGCAAGGACAGACCACAGGCGAGTAGGGTTCAGTGAGGAAGTAATCTTTTCCTAGTATTTTTTCAGATTTTTAGGAATTGCATCTTTATATAATGTTTTTCTATTTTATATTATTTTTTTTTGTAACCTTCGTCTGTATGTTCTCTCTTCCACTTGGACAGTGGTAATCATTAATAACAGCAGCTTCTGATTTCTACTGGTGTTCTCAGGCTTCAAAAGAATATGGGCCATGTGCAACAACAGCCAGAAAGATCACCAGGATGCTTGAGCCAATTTAGCATTGTACTACCAGCAAGTCTTCCCTTGATCCACAAGCAAATAGGAAACGTAGATTGTTAATTTTAATTCTCACAGAATTTACACAATGAATATTTTCAGCAGTTTCAGACCTTAGAGACTCACAATTTGCACTCAATAGCAAGTCCTCAATTAATTTAACATGTTACAGAAGTCTCATACATAGGCAAATAATTTCCTTGTTTTTTCTAATTCTTCCAAATTCACAATGAGAATTTTCTGAGAAAGAAAGAAACTGAGAAAAAACTCTCCCAAATCTTTGATATAGGAAGCCTGTTTAAAATTATTTGCTTCTTTGTTTCTTTCAAATGTCTTTCTCTTCAGTAAATTCCCAAAAGAAGGTAGAATATAGGGGTCAATTAAAATAAAAAATAATTAGAAAAAATACAAACGCTGAAGTGTATCTCTGCTTGTTTCTTAGGTAGAATCTCATAGAATATGTGGAAGGCTATTTTTGTATTATGAAGTTTCACACTTAAAGTGGATTAAGAAAGTTTGAGTGTAGTACAAGAGCGAAAGGTCAGTCAAACAAAACTATCTCTTGGTGACCAAATCTATTCCAAAATACCTAAGTATCTTCTAACATAATTTAGGTATGTTATTTATGGTACAAGGTACAGAGAGATGGATATATAGTGTATGTATTGTTTACAGACAAGATTATTTATGTAAGAACAATGAACACAGATCATTCTCCAGAAAGAGAAGGCTTCATAATGAAAAGTTTTGTCTTGTAAAACAGACAGGTAGGGATCATGTTGAGAAGTGGCTTAACTGGAAATTCTGATGTTTTTGTCAGTATGTCCCTAGTGCTTACTTAAGATGGATCCATAAGGGAAGCAGATGAGACAAGGAAAGCTATTTCAAAACATGTGCTGTTGCTGTTGGTGGTGAAACTGGTGCCAGAATATATACTACAGTATCTGTCCTCATTTTAGAGAGATTGTTGAAAAACGTAAAAGCATGAATAAAATCTCTTCTAAAGTTATCTGGGGGCTGGAAAAAAAATACAGTTGAACTAGAGATGTTAAGTGATCAATCTGATTACCTTCTAACAAAGAAAACTGAGGAGACTCTTGTTTTCAGAGAGTGGCTACCCAAAATACACATACAATATTGAATAATTAAAGAGGCTAATTAATTCAGTGAAGATATAAGAACCATTAGAAACAGATGAGAAGGAAGCCACGCAGTGATTTCAGGATGCAGAAACAAAATAAGTCAGAGTGATAACACCACTTGAAAAATATTAAAGTCTTGATGGATCTACTGTCTCTTGAGGTATTTCAGTCTGTAGCCTATTTGGAAGACATTATCTTCAGTTACAAATTCAAATTCACTGGGCTAAGCTTAGAGCCTGGATCTGACACTTCAAATGTGTATATAGTAGAATCATATCCTCCATTACACTCATATCTCTCTAAGAATCCCTTGCCTCTTCTCCATATAGTTTTTAGTACTAAAAGACTTTAACACTGACATACTTCAGTATTTTCAATGAAGTTTTGAGCCTGAAACTTCTTTTGCTTTGATTAAAAGCTATCATTTTCCTTCATATCACATGTTTGAATAGTCCTCTCCAGTCCTTTTTCATCAATTATTTCTTGCTTGGGAAACTCTTTTTTTAAAGCAACAGGGAAGTTTTTTATTGAGTGAGATCCATTGGCACAGAGTACAGGAACCTGTACTGTAGTCACTTCCACATAAAAAGTCGAGCTAAGCAGGCCAGGTTTGTTTATTATGAGGTACCAATTGGTCTAGAAAAAGTAAGAGAGACAGTCTCACTATCTGGCTGATATGACTTATGTCATTGAAACACTTCAAAGACAAGAAGAAGCAAGTCTGTGTGTGCAACCAAAATGTAACAAACCCTTCTTAGGAACCACACTGTTTTCCTAGGAAAACTGTTTAGGTTTGATTCCACATGAAAATCTCAAAATATTGACAGGGACTGTCACAAGATGTAGTATGTCTGACTCATGACGCTTTTTCTTTGATCTGTTTCAGCCAACTATAGTCAGCCTGTGATAGCACAGCTACACAGTGGGGAACCAAAGCCCAATGAAAACCTGAATCTTTCCTGTTCTTCCAGCGGAGGTTATCCAGAGCCTAAGCAGATGATTTGGCTAATTTCAAGTGAAAACATAACAGATAGGCTTATACGACACATGGATGTCTTACAGGATGCTGTAACAAAGCTGTATAATGTTACCAGCAAGCTGAATATCCCAGTTCCTACAAATACACTCACTAATATTAGCTGTTTGCTTCACCTTGGAGAGCAACAGGGGAGCCTTATCTCAGTGCCACTAGTCATAGGTGAGTTTTCATTTGCTCATTCTGATTTTTGCATGGGTAGGAGCTGGGAATGCTTTAGTAGAAATGATCACAGGTGGCAACATAGTCAAAGCAGAGAGTAAACCCTAAGTAGCAGAAGGGGCTACTTACAAGGCTTCTATGTTTGCCATCCTGTTCTCTGATAATCATGGCCACCAAATTCTCTCTTCTGTTTTTTCCATGGGAAGCCATATTACAGAAAGGAGAGCACAGAGAGAAGGAAGGCTACTGCAGCACAGAACAGAGCACAGCCCTGTTCACCCATTCCCCAAATGCTGCTGCAGCAACAAAGCAAACTAAATGCATGGACTAGGCTTCAGCCTATCTCTGGAGGTGACATTTAGCTGTTTAGATAGAGCCTGGTGGATCATGGAGAACTGCTGAGGTTTAAGAAGCATCTGGAAATCAGCCTGATTAAAGCAGTCAGTAGGCAGCCTTATCCAGTTAAGTTTTAAATATCTCTTAGGATGGAGACTCCACGATCTTGGAGTTCAACAAATTGTTTCAGTGTTTGACCACTCTCATACTACAAATGGTTTTTTTTGTGACAAATGAGTTCTTGAGCTGCTGCTCTCTTTTTAGAGAGAGGCAGAAGGCTGAACAGAAGAGTCCCTTGGACCAAATTTGGCTTACAAACTGTAAAATAGACTGTACTGAGCTAAAATGTAAAGGCCACAAAACTTTGATGGGTTTTGGAAGTATTCCTAGTGGTTTCCACAACATTTGGCAGAATACAGTGTGCATTCCAAAATGACCATTTGGGGATTTTTTTTTTCTCTGGGATTGTGCCTCTTTTCAGACGCCTCTTGCTAGAAATCCAGACTCTGTGCCATCCTGAATGTTCCCTAATGATCACAGTGTCAGCTGTGTGTAGATATTCTTTGTGCACCTCACAGTTTACTTTACCCTTTCTAACTGAAAAACTACATGCCAAAGTGAGCCCTCAAGAATATCATGATGCTGTAACATTCCCCTGGATTCTGGGTCCCATTACAAATAAGCTAATTGCCTAGAGATGAGGAACAAGAAAGCAGATTTATCTCTCTCAGTCCTAATTACCTATATTACCAGGTACATTATCATTTTTATTGCTGAACAACTCCATGTATATTTGACCAGGCTATGGCTAAGTAAGAGAGATTAGGAGACATGTACAAATTCTGTTTTCTGAGTCTGTTACATAACAAAGACCTTCAGAAGAGAAAGTGCCATAGCCAACAATTCTTCAGCTGCAACTCTAGACAAGCAGTTTAGATCTTGGTGCCTGAGTACCAACAAGATTTAATTGCAAGAATATTATCAGAGTTCTGTATGAATTATCCTTTTTTTAAACTAAAACTGTAGTTTTATTATTTAAAATATTATTTATAATATAATATAATAATATAAGAATATATTTATAAACTTTATTTCTTAGGATGGGAAAACATTTTTTAATGCATTTTTATTCATAAGCTATGGCACAAATATATCAAAATAGAATTGCTTCCCACTTCAGTCATTTGCCTTGCCCATCTCCATTAAGGCTGTGTTGAATGTGGAGTGCTGTTCTTCACCTGATGGGAACAAGAAACCCAAAAGGACTGGTAACACTGCAGAAAGCCTATTAGAGAAGAAGTTTACTACCTCCTTAGAGGCTTCCCCATTTACTACTTACTTACTTCTCTGGATGGAAAAAAGTTTTGCCAAAGAAGATCTACAAATCAGTTTTTTTCATTTAACTTTAACTAGAGGATTAAGTCATCACTGCTATATATGGCAAACTGCCTTTGATGTCCTCATATTCCAGGATTTGTAAATAGTATTAAATACAGAAGTCTTCTGAGGTTTGCAAAGTTCTACATGTTGCTCAAAGTATTAACACACTAATATTAGCCATAGTAGTGCATCCTCCTCTTCCCCATTCAGTTCTTCTCATCCCTGACTTTAAAAAGTAGCCATCTAATAAACAGTAATGGTGGATAAGAAACTAACAACTCTAGAGAAAAAAAACCTTTATTCAATGACAGTTGCAGCCATGTCACTTGCTATCCCTAGCAACCAAAACCTCAAAAGCACAATAACCAGAAACAGAAGGAAACTCCCGTGCATTCCCTGTCTCTCTCACATCCCTTAGAGCTTTTCATTAAGCTTTGATCTTCAGTTTCAACAGATACCACATAATAACATATCCCAGGCTATTTAAATTTTCAGTAGCAGAGTAGTAGTAGCCTAGCATTGGCATCATAGGCTCTTGTATTAATCAAGCTGCCAATCTTTCACACAACCCAAACATCAGAAACAGCACTTTTCCTTACTGTTGCTGAAATGGTTGTTAAGCCTTGGTGCACCTGCTAGTTATTGGGGGAAAAAAAAAAATAACAAAAAAAAACCATATGGAGAGTGATTTCCTAGCATTATCAAATATTGTAAAAGCAAAGGATAATTAGGGCCCTTCTATAAACTTCTAATTTACATAAATTTGGTTAGGATGGGTTAAGCTAATTCTCAGCAAATTAAATCTTTGCTATATGCATCTTCTCTGTTTTCTTATTCAGAGATACAGGCAGAAGAAATTGAACCAGTGAAGGTAAATTTCTTTGGCCCACTTATAGCTGTAATTTTACTGATCACACTTCTTCTGGGTTTTTTAATATTGAAGAACAGAAATATCTCATCTACCAACCAGAGTAAGTAATTACTTGTCACTCAGCTGTCCCCTAAATCACAGGCTTTGCTTTGTTTTTTCAATGAACCCTTTTCCTACATTCAGCTGCTGGCAGAAAGCTGAGTTTTATGCTGGACTTAAACTTCCTTGGACAAATTAGTTCCTGAAACATCTCACCCATCCAGCAGTAAATCCAAACACCTTTCTCCTGTCTCACCCTGTAATCCATTTCTCCTTCTCTGTGCTCTGTTAGACTGCCATGGCACAAGCTTACGATTTTGTCCTGCAGCTTCGTCTTTTATTATGGCTTATTGGTAGATTTGGTTCCTAAAGTCATTGATTTATATAAATCTTTTTTTGCCCATCACCATTTGTAAGAAAAGTGCAGCTGGGAGACGGATGAGACAAGATCTGCGTTATGTACAGGCAGCTCTGTCATCACTGAGGTGAAGGACCCAGGACATTGGTCCAATACAGGCTGCCAACACTGGACTAGAAGAACCATCCTTACACCAGAAACAGAAAGTGATCTTTGCATTTCATTTCTCTCTTTTATTGCAACACTAGGTCCCAGCAGTCTAGGCTTCATTCTGCACTGAGAGGATGATTATGCTGACATCATAATCTATCCCCTCTTGTATTAAGAAGGAAATTAATTCCTCAGAGTCAGTCCTGCTTTCTTGCACACCCAAGGGTCCTGAGGCCCTTCTCATTCTTTTTCCAGATCCTGTGAGAAGAGGACATTTATCATCAACTATTTCAGCTCCTATCTCTCATATTTCTGTAAATCACTTCTTCATCTATTTCAGGTGTCAGTCTCGCAGTCTAAAAGGTATCCAGCTTGAAATAGAGGCCAGCAGCTATAGACTGCTGACTGGGAACCATTTCTGCACATAGTGAGGTCTGAGGTCCCACTGTTTCAGATGCCGCGCCAGAACAAGAATCCTCTCCAAACACCTTGCAGAACAACATGCAATATTTTCATCTGGTGACTGAATTCCACTGTCCAGCGTTCTTTGCTTTTATTTTTGCTACAGAACAAATACAATAGTTGCTACAGTAGCAAATACAATACTCTGTCTCTATGAGTTTCCCTTTAGGGAAAACTCTCCTGATTTAATGGGCATTTTGGGCAAACGAACATCTTCTACATTATTAATTGGCACACACATGAATTTTCCTGGCTCCTGATGCAGTTACTCTGGCTGCAGTCTTGATCACTAAGAGGAAATGCCACCTTGGACCTTCCTGCACTCAATGGCTTGATTCACTTCTGAATGGACTAATGTGGTTTTTGCCTTCTGCGATACTACCTAGATATAAAGAACTGAATTTAGTGATCTCATTAAATCTGGAAAGAAGAGATGAAAACTTTGCCATCCACGTGCCACAAAAAAAAAAAAAAAAAGAAGAAGAAAAAAAAAAGGAAACATTTCTTCCAACACAAAGAAGTATCATGTATTCAGCAACTGGACAGGTAGGAAGATGGTGAGATATGAAGGGCAGAAATCTTCCCACTTTGCCAACAGTAACAAATAAGCAGAGAAGAACAGCAAGCAGCTGCTCCAACTGTTATAAGTACAATATATCTTCTTTTCATTATTTTCTTTTGTTTTGCTTTTTGCTGGGACTCCTTCACCCTTTGACAAGGCCACAGAAAACAGCTAAGCACTTAGCAGCACTACTATCACTGGCTAAGTGGCAGGTTTTTTAAGGGCAGAGGCTGACTTGGGAGAATACTGAGTGTCTGCATAAGGAGAAGCTGTTTAAAAGTCTAAGTGCTCCCCAAGATCCTGCAGTCTTCAGTTGTATGGTTGGGTTTGACACCTGTGACTGTTTTGCTGTATCTTTCATTATGCTCTGTGACACTGTAAAATGCTGTCAGTGAGAGTCAATGAAGAGAGCGGAACAGTAAGAGTTGCAGAAGTGAATGTCTCAGAAATAGAAAGAGTTAGGCCCTAACCTGTGAATCACTGACCTTACTGGAAATATGAACAGAGTCAGGGTATTTAATCATGGGCCATAAATGCTCTGGGCTTTGTATGGCTTCGTACCAGCAACTTTCTTGTACATTATACAGTAGAAAAAGGAACTTAAAAACATTGCCCCACCTACTGAGAAAAGCTGCGAAATTTCCATAGGGCATTTAAAACCAGAAATAACTGAAAGAAAAGAAAATGTTTTTAATGTAATTTTTTGTTATTGTATCTTTTTTTTTTAAAGATTAATATCTTCCTATGTATACTGACCAGATGCTGTACTACAGGTTTTTCAGGAGGAGGCAGGGATAGCATATTAAAGCATGAGGTATCATTCATTTGTGTATAAATACAGATATACAAGTTAAGCAAAGCAGATACTGAAAAAAATAATACTAATAATAAGCATGTTCCAGTTTGATTGACTGTTTTCTCCCTTTCTTAATTTGGCTTCCAAGTTTAAAGATACAGCAATCCATACATGATGTTATACTCAACTACAGGATATAGTTTTACTTTTCATGACAGGTTATTTGTTTCATTCAAAATGTTCCAGTCCTCAATCTTGATCAATGTCTGCATTTTATTTTCTACAATGCTACTGACAACTTTCAAGAAAAATACAGAAGATCTGAGACAAATTTTTTTTTGAGATCTTGATTGTCCGTAATATGGACATTAACATTACATTCTCAAGACAAAATTCAGCTCAGGTTTGCATTCTGGGGACATAAATTCTCCACTGTTCCTACTTGGTAAAAATATTCTTTTCTGTGAAGTGATGTTAAGAATTGCTAGACTCCACCTCAGTTTCACCTTTATTTTCACCTGAGTAAGAGAATTTGCATGTTATCTGGAGTTTGTAAAACCATTTGGGAGTCAGTTCATTAAGCTATTATGCCAATAAGCCAAACATTTTTATTCAGATTAGTATAATTCAAATTATATGAAAAGTCACAGCTCTTATTTTCATGTAAGGTTTTATATTTGCTAGCAAAGTTATTTAATGACATTAAAATATACATATTTTTCTGTGTTGGTGATTTACTCTCTTGCTGTTAAAGCAGTGTACTGGAGAATACCTACATGTAGTGTTCTCAGGGAGGAAATACTCCCAGAATTCACTCTCAGAAGCAACTAATAAGAAAGGTATTGCTGCAATGACCAAGAACAGAACAGTGTTTCGGTTGTTCATTCACAGAGCTGGATATAAACTCACAACCCGGACAGACTAGCATATATACCTCAAAGATAAGATACAAAACTGCAGCCTAAAAACTTGGCCTTTTGATCTCATGCTGCAGGTTGCCAAATATATCTCCAATGGGTCCTTCAATCTCCTCAAACTCTTGGTTACTATTTGATTCCATGAATAAAGCTTGTATTAAATAGCCAGGTGTACTAACTCAGGAAGATAGTCACCAGGTTTCTCTTGGTCCTTTTAACACATGCTGTTATTCAATTCATTTTTTCTCCCTAACATTTCGCTTCCCACTGAAGTCATTCTTCAGTTCAAATCATCACTAACATGGAAGTCTTGTCTGAGCAACAGCTAGCGTCCACATTATTGCTACAAACAACAAGCCTCATGTGTCTTTCATCTTCCAAATGACTAGATTCACACAAGCACCCCATACGCTCTTTCATTCACAGTCTCAGAACGCTCATCAGCCTTGATGTGCAGCTGGTCAGCTTTATATATTAAGGCATAAAAACCATCACTGACCTTTTGTGTTTGTCCATAGTAAGAAACAATAGCCAGCTCGTGAAGAAGGCATCTGGAAATCTCTGCTGGGACTGAGAGTCTTTCTCAAACACATTCACTTAAACAAAATAAAAACAACAACAGATCAAAATAAAACAAACAACAAAAGAAATACCACTACCATCTGACTACTGACACTGCCATAAGCTATCATAATCCAAAAAAAAGTCACTCAGTGGGCTAGGTTTGTGTGTTCCTAATTAGTGAAGTTGTTTATTTCCCCCTTCCTCTAAGAAGAAAATAACTTGCCACCCCTCTGTTGCAGGCTGCCAACTTTCTTCTATTACCTTACCGATTTCTCTGCCTTCTCTTCTTGCTCTTAAAATCATTCCTAAATGTCTTCTGCACCTAAAGAGTGTTAAAAAGCAATGACCTTCAGAGAAAATCTTAGTTCATATTTATTTAAATGCATTAATCCTCTGGGCTATTGTGGGTAATGAAAACAGTAGTAAGGCACAAGGAAATGTGTCGCTGAAGTGCCAAAATTTTTGTCTTCCATAGCAACATTCAGATTTCCAGGCTATCTCCTCAACTGCTTAGTAGTTTTTTTCTTTGGCAGCATGCATTAAGTCGTTAAGTGACTCTATAAACACGGCAAGCAAACAAATGAGCAGAGGCACCCATTACATTCCACAGCAAGGAGGAAGTCCATTTAAAAACATTCCTTTAAGGTATAATAATATGGAACCCCTGAAAAGCAGTATAATAAACCAGTAACCAGCATCCTAAGGTAAAATATGTTGTCATTAGACTTCAAGTTGCAATAGATTGCTCTAAGTTCACTTGTTAAATAACACAAAATCACAGAAGAGCTGATGCTGGAGTAGACTTTGGTAGATTGCCAATTCAAGCAGGATCACCTGGAGAAGTCTGCCCAGGATCATGTTCAGATGGTTTTTGATGATGTCTCCCAGTAGAGAGACTCCACAACCTCTCTGGGAACATGTGCCAGTCAGTGCTCAGCCACATTCACTGTAAAAAAAAAAAACTTTCCTGATGTTCAGACAGAACATCCTACATTCCGTTACTTCTTGTTTTGTCACCAGGCACCAGCAAAAAGAGCCTGGCTCTCCTTTCTTACAGCCTCCCTTTGGATATTTCTACAGATTGATGAGATTCTCCTTGAGCTTCCTTTTCTTCCAGCCTGAACAATCCCATCTCTCTCAACCTGTCTTCATCTGAGATGCTTCAATCCTTTAATCATTTGAGTGTCCCTTCAGTGGACCAGCTGTACTAAGTCCATGTATTTCTTGTAATGGTAAGCCCCAAATTACACACAGCACTCCAGCAGCGTCCTCACCAGCGCTGAACAGAGGGGAAAGATCACCTTCCACAGTCTGATGGCGACACTTTTCCTGATGCAGCGCGAACACTCTTGGCCTTCTTTGCCACGAGGGCGCACTGCTGCCTCATCTTCAATTTGTCAACAAGGACATCCAGGTCCTTTTAGGCGAAGTTGCTTTATAACTGGTCTGCCTGAGCCTGTCTGTGGTGCGTGGAAATACTTCTTCCAAGGTCAAACTTCCCTCCATGAGTTTCCCGTCAGCCCATTTCTCCATCCTGTTGAGGTTCCACTGCATGACAGCACAACTCCTCCCAGATTTTTTATCATCTGAAAACTCGTGGGATGCATTCTTTCCCCCTTTCTACTCAGCTGTCATGAGACCCCACCTGAGGAACCATGCTCAGATATGGGGTCTGCAGCAAAAGAAAGACACAGACATGTTACAAGGGTAACAGCTTTAAACTAAACTTTAAAAAAAAAAAAAAAGATATATTTAGATTAGATAATTAGAACAAATTCTTCACCATAAGGATGGTGAAGGTGAGGCACAGAGACAGGCTGCCCAGAGTAACTGTAGATATCCCATCCCTGGAAGTGTTCAAGGCCAGGCTGGATAGCGAGCATCCTGGTCAAATGGGAAATATCCTGCCCAGGGGACCTTTAAGGTCCATTCCAGCCCAAATCATCCTGTGAATTCCACTATAAGATTTCTTAATGTCAGCCAGCACTGCTGCTTCTGGTAACTCTTCGACCCTTCCTTCAATGGAAAGCAACTCTTCTGCCAGCAGCAGTACCAATAGCAAGGAGAGCATCTGCACAGAAGTTCTGAAATCCAGATATTGTCATAGTCCTTGACTTGCCATACCTCTTTACTTAGTTATGAATTTTATGGTACATCTGCAAAATCAAGTGTTTCTGCACTTGGTATGTCATTAACACTGAGACTTGCACTCTTTTTGTCCGCTGCTTTTATTAATATAGCTCTTAAAGCAAAAATTCATGAGAATCATAAAAACTATGCCCAGCCAGCCATTCTTAATTAGCATGGCTTATGTCAGAAGCAGATAGGGAAAAAAAATGTAAAGATGAGGTAAGAATAGCTTGAATTGCAGTTACATACATACATGCACAGTCAATATGTGTATGTCAAACAGTATATTGCCTACCCTCTTCCAAAACATACAGGCTAAAACAAAAGTTTGTTTTGTACTCATTTTCTAAAGCTTATCTCAGCCTAGATCTACTGTTGCTAGCGAGAGAAACTGCTCCCTTCTCAGAGTGTTCAAAACTAAGAATATCACTACTACCTATGGTGCTCTTTAACATCTTTATCAATGACATCGATGATGGAATTGAGTGCACCCTCAGCAAGTTTGCTGATGACACCAAGCTGAGCAGTGCGCTTGATGCAATGGAAGGAAGGGATGCCATTCAGAGGGACCTCATCAGATTTAAAAGGTGGTCCTGGGTGAATCTAATGAGGTTCAAGACAGCAAAGTGCAAGGTTTTGCACTTGGGCCAGAGGAATCCCAGGCATATATATAGACTGTGAGGAGGAATCCTTGAGAGTAGATCTGCAGAGAAGGAGCTGGGAGGTCCTGGTGGATGAAAAACTGAACGTGAGCCAGCAATGATGTGTTAGTTTCACAAAAAGAGGGACAAATATCCCACTAGTTTTATGCTTTTGTTGCTCTTTTCAATGTATTAATAAAAATATTAACAATTAAAATAATTTGTATTACTTATATATATTAATGATATTATATATTTTACAAAATAATATAAAAATAATGCCACCTATTTTACTGTGTTGGCCCACAACATAAGAGGCATATGTCAGTGGTATGGCAGTAGAGGTTGAGCCTTTCCACCAGTATTTCATTACATTTTGTAGCTGTGTGACAGACAACAACATAGGGGTAGTCCAGCAGAATGTTGTCGCACATGGAGTGAATACAAAACAAAGGTTTGAAATTGAATTGGGTACAGAAAAAATTGCGCCCATTAATATTAATTGATGCTTGCTTGTTCATGGAAATCAAATAGTGAATGTGAGCACAGTGAGGAGGTGGGTAATGCATTTCAGCAGTGGAAAGAGTGACTTTCGAAAGTCCCTTCCAACTCAAATGTTCTACGATCCTGTGATCCTATGATTCTATGACGTGATTTCTCCACATTGATTCTCAGTGAAAAAATAAAATGGTACTTCTGGCAGGTAAAAAAACTGTCTATTACTGAAAAGGATCAAACTTACTCTGTTCTTCATTTGGCAGCTGGAGGTAGCTGAAGTGATGAAGCAGCTGAGTGATAGAGTCAATCTTAACTGATGTTAAAAAGATCAGTGTTAAGAGCCAAAATTCTGGATCTTTGTACCAGGAGATCCAACAGGCCCTGAAACTGGTGCTGACTGAGCTGTGCTGAGAACCAAGAGAAACATCACAGCTTCATCCCTTATCCTTCTCACAAGTACACACAGACCAACATCAGGAGTCCTGTCGATTTGCACATATGGAGATGCAGACATGTCCTTCACTTGCAAAAGAGTAAAGATATTTGCCTGAATTTCCATTCTGTTCAGAAACCTCTGCAGCAAAATGATAGGTAGAATCTACTTCAGTGAAAGATAGATGTGATTGCTCCATTAGTTCTCCATGCTAATATACAAGAGATGCTCGGAAATAAATGCCTCCTGTTTTATCACGTTGGCCCACAACATCAGAGGCAGATGTTGGTAGTATTACTGAAGTGCCTGAACATTTCCACCAATACTCCATGACATATTTTTGCCTTGCAACAGATGGCAGCAGAGGGGCAGACTGACAGAACAAGGTCTGACGTGGAAGTGCGCATGAAGCAAAGGTGTGTGATCGAATTCCTCCATTTAGAAAAAATTGCATCCATTGACATTCATCAGTAATTGCTGAACGTTTATTGAGCCCAAACAGATAGCACAATGAGCACAGTGTGGCAGTAGGTGGCTCATTTCAGAGGTGTGACAGCAACAGCGGATCACCTCCACTGGTGCAGGCTTTGATGAGAGAGGCAAGCAAGCTCTTGTTCATTCCTGGCAAAAATGCACAGCTAATGGGGTTGACTATTCTGAAAAATAGTGTTCTGTAGCTGACAATTTGGTCTATCAAATACTTACTTCGCTCACTGTATCTCTTGTAGTTTCCATGGAAAAAAATCAGAGGCATCACTTTTGGAGCAGCCTACGTACGTGCACTCAATGCAGCATAGGCAAGGTGTGTGACACCCTAAATGCAATCCTGAGCTGCTCTCAAAGAACAGCTGTTTGATCCCAGAAATCAGAGTCAGGAAACAACAACAAAAAAAAGAGGGGCGGAGAAAGGGAAACTGGGGTGAAAGATTCAGATACTCATCCGAAGGGGGACAGAATTAAGGAGCGTTGCTAAAACCTCACGTGCACACACACAGCAGCAGCACAACGCTGAGAAAAACGCCGTCATGTCAAACCGTGTCAGCCCCTGGCTCACCTTCGTTTTCTTCTGCTTCCTTCCCCAGGAAGGTGTAACGCGTGCCCGCCGCTTGCCGCGAGGCCTGCCCAGCCCACCAGCTCGCCCTGAGCCAGCAGCACTTCAGACGACCCGAGCCACGGCGCCGCCTTTCAGGTAACGGCCTCTCACTGGCTGCACTGACAGCCCCTCAGTGAAGCCGCCTCTTGTTTCCACAGCATTAAAAAAAAATAACAGACAAACAACTACAATAAAAGAAATTCCTTTAATAACAAACACAAGAAGGCAGCGGGGGGGCTGAGGTCGAATAGCGGAGCCCAGCAGCCCGCCACACGTCAGCGGCGGCCGTTGGGACGCTGGGAGCGCGTCTCGCTCGCCCCCTGGCGGCTGCCCGCCGAAAGGCGGAGGGGCTCCTCAGGCTGAGGTGCGGGCAGAGGGCAGCGCGGGGCGGCCCGCAGGTCGGGCCAGGCCGGCTGGTGCTGCGTCCGATCGGTTCTTGGGAAGCTCCGCACAGAGAAGCCTCCGAGCTTCCTCGGGCAGCCTGGCCAGCTGCTTGCCTAACCTCACAGAGAAAAGTTTTTCCTTATCCCCAGCCTGAACCTTTGTTTTTTCACTTTGTGTCTGACACTGTAATCCTGCTGCCATGCACCACTGTGAAGTTCCTGTCACGCCCTCACAATAATCTCCTCCTAAGTGTTGGAGGGATATACCTCAGCATTTCTCACTCTCTTCTCTAGGCAGAAGAAAACAAGCCCCTTGGCCTCTCCTTTCCAGCTCTGTCTTCCACCCTACTTATTCCAGCTTATGTGTGTCTTTCCTGTGTTATAGAGCAAAGGGCTGGACCCAGTTTTCTAGACTTAGAAATCCTGAATAAAAAGCAGTAACGTCAGTCCTCTCACTCAATCTGCTGGCAGTGTTGTGGTTAATGCAGTCATGAATGCCACTGGCCTTGCTTGCTGCCTGAGCATTCTTCCACTACGAGCTACATTGACAGAAATCATCACATCATCACTGTTCTCCCTGCTGAAGGGACTCTTTCAGTCATTTCCTCAATGGCAACTAAGAGTTTTCAAAATGAGGTATTGAGAATTTGTGCATTCACTCTGGCAGTCTTGCTATTGTTTTCTCATAATTTCACCTCTACTTCCCAGTGTTTTGAAGCCTGGCCAATGTACAGTGGCCGTACATCTAGACCACTCTTAAGAAGTTATTTGTAATTTATTCTGTGCATTGTTTTGGAAACTATTCATGTAAAAAGTAGAAGACACCTGGAAGATACAGAGAAAAGGAGATGTCTGAAGCACTCTTTTGCAATTTCAGGACCAAAAAAAAAAAAAAAAGCAATCTAAAAAATTCCCTCCAGGTCATGTTCTGTGGTAACCTTGACATCCTTAGGTAAGACAGTCTGTATGTAGCACTAAGCAAGGCAGCAAGCAAAGGAGCAAACCTGAGGCTCAGTCATAATGGAAGAAATATTCGTGTTATTATGGATTTTTAGCAGTTAATTTTAGTTCTCTGTGTATATTTTAGGAGGTAAACTGAGGCACACTCGTCTTACAGTTTTGGATACATAGCCATGCTTATTTATTGGTTTTATATACTGAGCTTTTCTTAGATGTTTTTTTTTTTCTTAGCGTACATTAATTCTCTGGCTGTGCATGCAACATTAACTGAAAATTTTGCCTTAAAAATATCTGAAAGGTACTTTAAAGTCCCAATCATTTTCCTTCCTTCTCCTTTTCGCATGCACCTCAAACAAATCAAGCAGATAATAGGGAGAGGAAGTGACCTACCCTCCCAGTCTTGTGTGCTCCAAGAATACAAAATATTCTGGAAGAAAACCATCAGTATAACTTGGATCATTGCTGTCGTTGCTTTCATTAGAGTAGGAAGATGTTTTTATTTTTTTGCCTTTCATTGTACATACATGAACAACTTGAAGTAAAATAACAGTCCTTATGCTGATCTCACCAGGCTTTGGTCTCTGTCTCAGAAGCAGAAGTCATTGGGCACTCCATGGGCTTAGCCCTGTTAATATGAAAAGAAAAAAATGCCCAGAACTGAATTTGCACAAGAGACTTGAAAAACATATGCAGGAAAAACATACATGGAAATTAATTTCCTGATTGAAGTAGAATTCTTAGACAGTGTTGACAAATATAGTATACTGGGTGGCAGGCAGCTACGATGGGCCTTTAACTTCCCAGCTCTTTCACGTAATGCAAATACAACCAAAATGCTGTTCATGTGAAATGATGAAAAAGACATCAGATCATGTAAGGATGCAGCACAGCCCTAATAAAAAGGGCTTGGAGGTACTGGTGGGTGGCAAGCTGGTCAAAAGACAGCAGTGTGCCCTTGCAGCCCAGAAAGCCAGCTGTAGCCCAGCCCTTGGAGACATTCAGAGGCAGTTTGGACTAGGCTCTGAGCAACCTGATCTAGCAGTAGATGTCTCTGTTTGTTGCAGGGGGGTTACACTAGATGAGATTTAAAGATTCATTCAACTCACACATTCCACAATCCTGTGATTCTATAACATGATTTCTCCACATAGATTCTCAGTGAAAAAATCAAATGGCACTCTTGGCAGAAAATTTCTGAGAATTAGATAGGCAAATGTGGACCTTGGTGCATCAGCACCATCAGAGTAGCACTGAGAAAAAAATCAGGAAAAGAAAAAAACACCATTACTCAGTATTGCAATACTGTTACTGAATGTATTCACAGCATTTTGAGAGGAAGATTTACATCTATTTTCTTTAAGCTAGTAATCTAACACAGAGGGTAGAAATGAAACGTAGAAAAAAAATTATTTTGCTTTCACACAGTGAAGTAGAGAAGGCCAATTATTCTGATATGCTTGTCCAGTGGTCTTCTCCCAACAAGTAACAAAACTGTCTATTACTGAAAAGGATCACACTTACTCTGTTCTTCATTTGGCAGCTGGAGGTAGCTGAACTGATGAAGCAGCTGAGCGATAGAGTCAATCTTAACTGATCTTAAAAAGATCAATGTTAAGAGCCAAAATTCTGGATCTTTGTACCAGGAGATCCAACAGGCCCTGAAACTGGTGCTGACTGAGCTGTGCTGAGAACCAAGAGAAACATCACAGCTTTGTCCCTTATCCTTCTCAGTGTTGAAAAATAGAGTTACAAAACACTGACAGTTTGCTCTATTGAACTGTTGCCATGCTCATTGTATCTGTTGTAGTTTCCATGGTAATAGGCAACATTACTTTTGGAGCAACCTATTTATAGTGGAACAGCTTGTTCTATAAGGAAAAAATTACTAAAATACTAAGATAATTTTATTCTGTTTTTGCTTTTGGAAACTAAATTAAATTCCTTTATTTAAAAACCAAAGGAGAAATTTGCAGCCTTTATGTCATAGAAAAAGTATAATCGGCACCTCTACAATATGCCTGGTGAGAGTAAATTCAAGTCACTTGTGTCATTGGACCTCACCTTTAGGTCTTCTCTCTTGCATCTTAACCCCACATGAAAATAAATAATTAGGATTTTTGAACTGAGATGTGGCCTGCAATTATCTTCTACTGTTGTCCCAGGACACTTTGGGATGGAAAAAAACATCCTGTGAATGACTCTGCAATAGGAAAACTGCAATAGGAAAGATTAAGTAAGTTGCCTTCAGTGATGGAGCAGTGAGAAGTCCTGTCTAATTCTGTATGTGTCATATTTATTCTAGGTAGCAGCAGCTCACTACTGAAATATCTGAGACAAACCATAGCAAATGTTTGCTATGCGCTGCCTACAGACAAACAGTTTGAAGAGAATCAAAGGGCTGCTGACTAGCTCTAAATTCCAAGGAGCTCATTTTCTGCATTTAAAAATAGGAAAAAAGTAAAATGTCTGTTACCACTACCTGCAATCTGATTTATAATCTTGCATAAGTTAAACTTGTAAGCAACTGAGAAGCCTGAAACAGTGGAGAACTTCCAAAGAAGAGTTGGAGAAGCACTTAGAAAACTAACAGTACAGGAAGACATCAGTAAAAATGTTATTGACTTCATAGCACTAGGGTGTGTATCAGGACAGATACAGAAATTGTGACTGGAGCTATCATGTCATTCAGGTGCCTGAATTCTAAGCATCAGTGTACCATGTGAAAAATTCTGAAGGGAAGTAGAGAAGTACTGTCACCCCTTGCCATGAGAGAACTAAAACTCTGTTAAGCAATTTAATTGAAGGCATGGAGGAAGGCTTGGAGGTGTGGATTATTCTATGATTCTATAGGCCTGCTGAAGCTTGCAAATAACACTCTCAGACATATAATTTGAATTTTTAGTGGTCCTGTGTGGAGCCAGGAGTTGGACCCAGTGATCCTTGTGGGCCCCTTTCAACTTGGGATATTTATAACTCTGTGATTCCATAAGTCCATGATTCTACAATTCTGTCTTTGTCTTCTGAGAATCATTCCTCTGTCTGATCTGGAAGGCCATTCTTCCTTGTATTTGCCAATTCATCAAAAACTCATCTCGACCAATGCAACAAGTGGGTTAGAATATGAGTAGCCTATGATTTGCGAGGGCCCAGTGGAGGGAACAAGTCAAGGCAAAAGCTTAAAAGTGGCAATCTGGAATAAATGGGTTAAAGGAAGGATTGATTTATTGGTGTAAGTATCCTATTTTCTTGTCAGAATATCCTTTTGTACTATCTGGAACAAATATCAGTGCTTGTCACCCATCCCAACAAGAATAATTAATCTTTGATTAATACTGCATCTCTTAAGCCAGCCATTGGCATCTCCATGGCTCCTGAATACTAGACCATAGTACACATGCAGCCAGTACACAGCAGTATTAATAGATTTTCCATAGTAATCCTTCTGTTGCTTTTCAGTTCTCAGCCACCTAAGGAAATAAATTGTATAGGCATAACAGTGCAGAAAAAGCTACTGGAATGTGCCAGGAAGCTGTCAGTAGGCATTAGAAATCAGCTTACTAAACTGGTCAAGAACTTTAAAACTTCACTCTGCTGAGGGCAGAATAGAAATAGATTGCCTTTCTTGTTTCATTTGCAGCCATGAGGAGGGCGCTTCCTTGTCTGTACACCCATGTTGCTAATTGATTTCTCCAAAATTTCCAGCTCCTGCTGCAAAATAAAACCTTAATGCTATTTCCTCTTCATCACACATGGTCAAGTCTCCTACTCAGGATCTCAGGATGCCTGCATCAGCACTTTTTTTTTTCTTTTTTAGTGCTAGTCTTGCTGACTTGTACCTTTAGATAGCAATTGACAAAAAGCTAGCTACCACCAGGTGATGATATGTTTTATTACTGACAAGCAGCATGTGCTGCCAGGTGCTCTTCTTAAAACTGGTTATGAATTTTCTGAAGTAACATTGTTTATTAGAAAAAGCTAATTCTCTGAAACTAACTCTGGTAGTGAGAAAGAGCAGCTTTTCATAAATTGACTTTGTAAAAGTCTGGGGGAAAAAAATGCAGTAATGATAGTTGAAGTTAATGTTTTCAAAATAAATCCTTGCTTTACATGTTGAAAATCTTTTTTAGTATCTACATGTTTTGGTTTTAAAGTGCTCAGACTCTCTAATGGAAAAAGTAGTTTTCCAAATCAGTGTAACAATACTTCAAATATTCCCAATCTTTTTTCCCATAGACTATTTCCCACTGATTTTTTTTCACTGTGTTCTATATGCTGAAAATCATGCCTCTTAGAGAACAGCTACTTCAAAATCAGCCCTTCATAGGAAAAGAAAGACTTAAGACTCCTCAGTAAAACTTTTCTATTTTTCACATCACTAATACCCACTCAGATACTGCAAATTACACATGCTTCTAACATAGTTTTTATTAGCACCTTTGCCAGTAACTTTGCTTATTTTCCAAACATCTGCTTGGGTTTAGTGTGGTTTATTTAAAATCAGACATTGGCAAAACTAATTCATTCCATCGTGCCTTTCCCGTAGGTCAATCTGGTACTCTAGGTGTTATTCAGACTTTCTCTTTCAAAGAAACAATCAGTTCATATTTCAGCCCCAGGATCTGAAATACTGCAAGAACAATCCAATGTACCCTTATGGTATACCATGCTATTTCAAGTTTCATTCCTGTCTGAGAAGGGCAAGAGAAGAAATATGTAAGCTCTTAACAACATAAATTGAATTTGAACTTTGAGCTCTGATGTTTAATACATTGGACAAAATACGACTGGCTTTCTGTCGTCAGGCTCTGTAACCAGTAAATAATGTCTTTTGTACTGGCTGCATCAGTATGGTAATACACTAAATCCCACCTGGAGATTTAATACCTATGGCTCTGGGAGTCAATAAGGGCAGTAAGGCCCAGATTTTAAACAAAAATGTTGCTGCACTGACTGACTGCATGTGTTTTGGTATTTGTACTCTTAGAAATGTGGACAGAGTAAAGCTGTGCACACATAATAATTGTTGCAAATGTTCATTCACTGGAACACAAGACTGTTTGTTGAATATCTCATCTCTAAAATGGGAATAATGATACTTTTCTAGCCTGGGAAATCATATTTAGTTCATTACAACGTCACATTTTGGTGGGTCTTTCTTGGCTATAGGAGCGATTAGCCTGTTAATTAATATGCTAACTGCAAAGTATTTAGCTCTTTTAAAAATGAAATTCTTGATGCTGTAAGATCTACAGAGAAAGGAACAGTCTCCACTGCCACCAACACTTAATTTCTGATTGCATGGTTTGGCTTTGCACCTCAACTTTCTACATGTTAGTGTGCCTGATTGCTAGATAAGGTAATGGTTCCCCAAGCTACAAAAGTGCTTTAGAATCCATAGACAAAAGGCACTGTGGAAGCACAAAAGAACTGCTTACATGAGTTAAAAAATAGCTTTTAACCTTTGATCTTGAAGATCTATTTCACATGTGCACCATATGCTCAATGGCCTAACTGCTTCAGCCTCACTGTTTTCCTGTGGATACACTCTTTGACTTCACAGCCCTTATGCTTTTTGCTTGACGGCATCCAGGCTGTTTCTTAACAGTCATATTCTGCCAGCAACAAACATCCTTTTGTTCCTTGGGATCTGGGAAATGGACTGCATTCCTCTCTTTTCCCCACTATCTTTGGAGAAGTTAACCTCTGAAGAAACCCAAGCAAACAAACAAGAAATCCCACAAGCATAAGGGATTTGCAGCATTTTGAAAATGCATAGGGGTGGAAAAACAAGTCTGTAGTTGTCAGCTGAACCTGATCCAAACAATCTGATCAAAGATGATAACTTGCCTTTGTTTTGTGCAAAAAGACCTTTGTTTATACATTGGGTGCACAGCAAGGGGAACTCATTAGCAACATTAAAGTAGCTGGTCTCTAATAAGAAATATGATGTCTAAAAGAGAGAAAAAGCTGCCTGCAGAAGAAATTCAATTTCTAAAGCACTTACTGTGACAATAGATATTGTTTGGAATGTCGAAGGTTTTCTTCAAGGCAGGAGATATTTGATATCTTGCCTCTGAGGTTTGGGAAAGAGTGGCTGAAAAGTTGACTGGCAGAAAAGGACCTGAGGGTACCAGTTGACAGCCGGCTGAACATGAACAAGCAGTGTGCCCAGGGGGCCAAGAAGTCCAATGGCATCCAGGCTTGTATCAGAAGTATGTGGCCAGCAGGACTAGCAAGGTGATTGACCCTCTGTACTCAGCACTGTCAAGACTGCCCCGCAAGCACAGTGCACAGTTTTGGACCCTTCACTACAAGAAAGGTTTGAATTGCTGGAACACATTCAGAGAAGAGCAGTGAAGCTGGTGAAGGGACTAGAAAATAAGACACATGAGGATTAGCTGAGGAAAATGGAGCAGTGTAGTCTGAAAAAAAAGGAGCAACTTGAAAGGAGGTTGTAGTGAGGTGACAAGTAACATGACACAAGGCGACAGCCTCAACTTTTGCCAAGGGAAGTTTGGATTGCACATCAGGCAGAATTTCTTCGTGGAACATAAGGATAGGCATTGAAACAGGCTGCCCAAGGTAATTAAGGAGTCCACATACATGAAGGTATTCAAGAGACATGATTTAGTGGTAATTTAGTGGTGATTGGTGGTTGGATTTAGTGATCTTATGAGTCTTTTTCAACCTAAATGATTCTATGAATCTATGATTTTAATATTTGATTTAGGGAGTGTTGCAGGGCTATGAAAGCTGTGAAAGAGGCTTGAATAGGAATAGAGATGACTATGAACATGTTACATATGCACCTGTATGGTGATCATATTTTAAAGTCTGAAAAAAAGCCGACCATTTGCCCAAGCTTAGGGGACATAAAGAGAATGAAGACCCAAGAAATAAGATGAAAGAGCAGCTTCACACTGTGAAAACTTCAGGCTGAGTCGCTTGAAAATACAGGGTGAAGAGAGGAAAAGGCCCTCATCTCTTTGTCTCTCTTCCCAGGTAAGAAGTCAACTAGGAGTCAGAACTTTCTTATTGATGAATTGGCCTCATATCCTCATGCACTCTACTCTTGCTCATCTACCTCTCCCTCCCCTATCCCAAACTTCCAAAGCGTATAAGAACACCCATGGTCAGCTGTGCTATAGGCCCACTTAAGAAGGCAGTATACTGTCTCTATAAGCCAGTGATAAATGTTTAGGGAAGGAATATGAAAATAGTCCAAATGTTATTCAGTTCTTTCCACCAGTTCAAGTTCTCCTCACAATCCAGATCAGTCCTTTGTGGAGCTTTCTTTCATGAGATTGTGTAATCCCATTTTTGAATCCATTCATAGTTTGGTCCCCTGGAAACAAAGTGAACAGTCTGTCTAGTCTCTCCTTAATGAAATAATGCCAGTCTACTGATTATTCTTACTTCTATTTTGTGCTCCTCCTAGTTCCACTAGATCTGATTTTCAGTGGGAGAGATCAGAGCTGAGGACAGCTTTCAGGATGTGGATGTGTCAGAGTTTCAGTCTTCCTGTGGCATCTCCAAGTCTACTAGACTCAACAAGAAGTTGAAAGAAAAACAATTGGTAGCTGAATCAAAACCAGTTGTAATCAGCGTAAGTCCTCTTGTACTAGATAAGTACTTCTAAAAAATGAAGAATGAAATAAACAAAATGAGCAACCACAACAAACACCCACAAAGACAAAAATCTTTGTGATTGTGTAAAACGCTCATTTTTGCCATCATAAACAAGCAGAAGAAAAAATAAATTTGAAAAATGTTACTAACACAAAGCTGTACCGCCAAATGTTGCCTTCTACCTTACAAGATGATGAATTATGATTTTATTTCAACCTACAAACAAAATCAATTGAGTTCTGGGGAAGTTAAAAAATTGTTACAATACTTTCTGAGAGTGGCAAGTGCTTCTTAGAAAAGCAAACAAGGCAAAGCAAGTGTAGTGATAAAAGATTAGAAGAGAAGGCGAATGGTGAAAGCAGTTGCAGCAACTACTGATAGGAGATTATCAGATGATCAGTATAAAAAAAAGGTGGAAATATAATATTAAGACTCCAGAATACTAAGTGAGACATCTTCTCTGAGTAGTGTTATTCAATCATCCCAGTTCAGAAAACAAGTGATAATACTGACTCCTGACCCTTTGTTATAACAAATAAGTGTAAAGTGTTTGCTGTATTTTCAGACCTGAAAATGTGTAATAAATAATTAGATTATAATTGCATTTAGATTAGTATTTTTAATCAAATTCCTAGAAATCCAAGCTGAGCACTGAGAAGTGAAAACATGAATTAATGTCTGATTGAAACTTAATTATACAACGAGTATGAGCCTTTCAAACTGAAAGGCCCTTACAGAAGCTTTCTCAGAACTGCAGTGCAAGGGCTGGCTGTACAGGGAACAGGATTAAAATAAAAAAATAATAATAATAATTCTTAAAAAGAGTTTAATTGGGCTTCTTTATTCAGATGAATTCCTTGTCTATCCCCATAAGCGTACTTAAGCACCAAAAGGAGTGAATGGGAATGTGATTTGGTGTTTGGGGCCAAGGGAGAAAAGTAAGAATGTCTTAACTTTATGACTGTACTAGGAAGATTTTGAAGCCACAGTCTTAGCTACAGACACTGAAGTAGGTAAGTCTGGTATACCATGAAAGGAATGGACCAGAATGCTTCGTGATACATAATGTTAATCTGTGTATCTTGTCTGGCCCTTTTTCTGGATGTTAAACATCCAGAATGATTTGTGCCACAATAATAGGTCTGTCTTAACCCTTATTTAAGGGGTTAACCCCTACACTATTTCAATAGTGACCCACTTGTCAAATCAGATATCAAGCAGAGAAGTGGGTGGGGCTATGAAATCAGTAAGTTAAACTGGCCAGTCACGAACAGAAAACGAAGTAAACAAAATCCTAGAACATTAGACCATGTCACAGTTGGTAAGATGGAAAATGGTTTTCAAATATCCAGCGCTAACGATCTGTCTAATAAACCACTGCCTAACAGAAGAGAGACTTTGTGGAGTTACTCATTCTTGTAACTAGCTGAAACTAATTTCAACAACACTGAATATGAATATTAATTCAAATCAGTTGAATTCTATTTACAAAATGAGGCAAAATTCAACTAAGTTGGTCTTTGAAGTAAAGAACTTTCCAAGAAAACAAATACTTCCTTAATTGAGACATTTTGTCATAGAAACTAACAAGATTGATGTAGAAAAAGACATCTGGTAGGATATATAGCTAAATGTGATAATATTCTTCACTTGCCTCTCAGATGTAAATATTGAGCAATAAATGAGTATTTAAAAAACACTCCAAAAATTCTGTGTTCTTGTATATAAAAACCTGAAGACTCTCTCTGGCCAAGAAGTATATTCCAAATGACAGCAGAGAATTATGTAACAAAACGTAGTTGCAATATTATAACAACATTAAAAATTATATTTAATGTTTTAACAAAGAAATAGAATGTACTTTCTTATGTACATTACAAATACTATATCATCTCATTAGTAGCTGTGACACAAAGACAAGATTAATTATTTCCTTTCTTTAATGACCAGATTTATTCTGTAATGGCTGAACCATTTGTGTGGCCATTTCACCGGAAAAGAGAGGTGGTTAATGAGATTTTCATTACGATTGATGATAAAACAGTACTGTAATAAAGACATAAATTTAGAGGGTGGGAAATTATAAAGACAGGAGAAAGAATTGCAAATGAGTATTTTGACCTCTTCTGTAATGGGGTTCGGAATAAAAGTTCTGTCTATCAAGTAAATAAATAAAATCAAGGATAAAAATAATAAAATGTAGATTTGAATTGAAAATATTTTCATTGCAGGAGATTGTACTAGCAATTGTTGATAATTTTCAACAATTTCAACAATAGTTCATCAAAAATATTAATCAAATTTACTTGATTTCAAGTTTGAATCAGTTTAAATTCAAATTCCAATAAATGCCGTATTTTTCTCCGTTTAGGTGTTTGTTGATAAACACGAGGAAATGGATATCTGTGGCTGTCCATTTCTGAATGTGAATTCCATAGAGGAATGAATGAGTCCATGAATGAATTCCATAGTGAATACATGTTCAAATGCCAATGTATGTGGATTTCTTATCTTTTTCAGTTACCTTCTGTTACATGTTATACCTTGAATATCTGAAAAGATCCGCATTACAGATCACAGTTCACTCTGACAGTTCTTCATCTGACTATCAATGTTAGAGAACAACAGGAGACATCAACCATTTTGTACAAAGGTAGATATCTGTAATTTATATAGAAAAGTGCATTAGCATTCAACCTTTTCTACAGTAAAAACTTTCACTTCAAATAGATTGTAGGAAAAAGTAGCTATTAACCGTAATCATCATAAATAATTAACCATGATAGCAGCTGTATTTAATATCCATCTCCCAGTTAATGTTTATCCAGGCAGATAATACCTGAACTGACGAAAACCAAACACAAAGCCCATATCACACCCAAGACAATCTGTCAAAATCTGTTCATACTTGCAATTATATAAAAAGAATTTACTTCTTAAATAATCAGCATTTTAATTTTCTTTTTTTACTTGTGAGCTAATTAAGATTCTACTATTCTTAGAAGGCTGTTTATTTTTCAAAGTGTAAATTTGCAGAAATACTACAGTTTTGGTGCAGATACTATGTAGAAAATTATGATGGAACAGAAATTACAAAAGAAGGAAGCTGGGAGAAGAATTCTGAAAAGTAAGCCTGTGTGACTGTGGCTAGAGACCTGGCGACAATAAAGCACCTCAGAGACATGCTTTCTTAACAGAAGTGCAGCAGGAGATCAGGAAGATCAGAAATTAAGGGAAGATCAGGAGGCTTCTTCTCAGTAAATGAGCAATTAAGGTTCAATTTTGACTTTTAGATTTTTGAATGCATACATAGAGGTCCTCCAAAAGGAGCTCTACATAGGTCACTCCAAAAGTAATGTCTTCTGTTTATTTCTGTGGAAACTACAGCAGATACAAAGAGCACAATAACCTTATTTGATAGAGCAAATTCTCAGTTATCAAACACTGTTTTTTTGACATAGCTATTCATTTTCTCTGCTGCCATATCACCAACATCCACCTCTGAATTCATGGGACAACATAATAAAATAATCTTTTGGAGCATTTCTCGTATATCGTAAATCACTGGGAGAACACAACACAAAGAACACCATATTCTTAAACTATCCAGCTGTAATTTCAAAATCTTCTAATTTCAGTGTGGTTGCATGTTTGTCTTTAATCCTGACATACAACTTTTCCTTGGGTTGTCAGTGCTGAGGGGTATTTGGAAGCCTCCTTTGAAGTTAGATGTGATAATTCTCCATCCCAACACTATACTTTCAGTAACTACAGCCTAGCACAAAGGGTATAACATTTTACAGACCTGTGGACTTACTGGTCACTATCACGTCAGGGAGATGTGCTGCCCCTGTGCTTCAGTCTAAGGCAAATGACTGGGCAGTGCGTGCAAGTTTTTTCTGTTACTCTCCTGAACCAAACTTTGGAAATTTAAAGAAGAAATAAATATGTGAAAATAAGTGAAGACAGTGAGAGAATTAATATCTGAAGAAAAAAATAACAACAAAAGTTTGAGGAAATAAAGAGCATGTAGGAGGAACCTGGAAAGAAAAAGCAGGCGGCCAAACTCCAGTAAATGTAGCCTTCAGATCAGTGTACAAACATGGGGAAGCTTTGTCCTCAGTGGCCTGCCTTTTCATGCTAAGTGTCTCTTTTCATTTGTGAGCAAACAGAAATACTGTTCACCAGGGTGATTTCTAAATAGTTCTTAACAGGCTATGGAGGTGAAATGTGGAAAACAAGTCCTCCCTCTCAGAATTTTTATTTTGAGCAGGAAGCTCATTCAGCTACTTTGCATCTGGAAAGTTTTCTTTGCAATCATAAAATGTGGACATGAAACTGTTGTTTCATCCATGGCTAGCTCCTGAAGCACAAGATAACTCTGTCATGAAGGAAAACAGCTAGCTCGATAAGCTGCCCCCAGTAGGCCAAATGTGACCTATAGATAAAAAAAAAATGCAAGCAGAGTGATAAACAAAGGAGCTGCATCAATTATAAATCACATTTTTAATACAAAATTTGTTGCAGAAAAGTCACAGCAATATAAGATCTTCAGGAAAGTGTGCTTGGCTAGGATTAATAGAGGGGTAATGCTCTCTGTGTGCTTCTGCTTTGGTATTCAGCAAATACCTTGGAGTTTTTGTTTTCTTTTTTCATACTCCCCAGGGCAGGCTATTCCAAGGCTGCTCAACAAATAACTGCTCAAATGATATTGCTTAGGCTGCTTTTATCTGGCAGAGTAGCCCTGCCCTGAAAAAGGAATATGAGAACAAAGAGCATGAAGAGGGAAATAAGTAGACGAGAATGGACATCTCAGGTTATTTTCAGATCTGTGCACATGGAACACAGATATGCCCACTCCTCCAAGGAAGTAGAACGTTTCAAAATGAGTTTGAAGGTGGTCCTGGAAAACGTACATACAGAGTAATTCAGTGTGGCAGCAGGGGAGATGGACTGGCTATGAACTTACTGGGTCTCTTCCATCTCCAATTTCTATGAAAACAGTCACCATTATTTAGAAATATGATAAATATTTTAAAAATCACAGATACAAACTAAATAAAACATATTAAATAACAAATTCAGCCAACTTAATCATGACTTTTCAACTTTTTAAACCAAGACAGCAGGGAACAAGAAGGAACAGGCTTAAGATTTTTAGTCCTCTTTGTTTAAGGCTAATTCACATAGGACACACCTTCATGAGACTTGTTCAATAACATTTATGGAGCTGGGCTGGAGTTGTTATTGGATTGTCCTCAGTCCACAGAGCTGCTGATTTTATCCAGTTTTTATCTCACTCTAGCAGCTTTTAATTCACATTTTGCCTTGTTTATATTTCATTCCTAGCTGGACCAGTAGATTTCATTTTGGGTAGTGTAATACCAATCTAGTCCTTTCAGCAGTTACTCATCCAGAAGAAACTGCACCAAATGCCAATTCCTTTCTTCATTCCTGTACTGACCAAAACAACACCATCTGTCCTCCAAGAGCTGCGTGTTTGCAGATACGCAGACTTCATCATCCTCAGCAGGAGAAGAAGAATTTTTGACTTGAAAAACATAGAACTCCTTATTTGAGCACATGGTGCATCCATAAAGTCTAGCTGCAGTGATGGGGCTTGTGTTCCATGGGACAGCCACTAGACAGTGATACAGGCACACTGACACAGCCAAAGTATGTCAGTTTCACACTCCACTACTACACCCAGCCCTTTTCTAGCATTTTCTTCACAGCCTAGCAGCTCAAACTTCCTCTGAATTCCAGTCAAATCTCAGCTTTCACATGTTCCTTCTGAGTACCCATAATTCATTCTCAACAGAAAGGCTTGAACAAATCCTTTTCTCCTATGAAAACCAAAGATGAGGAATGTTCTGGGGTGGACAGGTCCAGGAGCATGCCTTCCCTTTGGTGTTCTGCTTGTTCAACAGAAGACCCCAGTCTTCTGGGTTGTTGGTGTTCACAGCGCTATCTCCAAACTATCAGTTCAGCTTCTTCTATTAGCACTGAAAACAATACAAGAAGATGAGGCAGACATGGTCATTCTTCCTATCTCATACTTCCCTGAACATGTATAAGATAACAAAATAAACTAGAGCCTGTTTTAGGCTTTGTATGTATAATACTCTTCAGCACACCAGGCCCTGGTCACAAGGCTCAACCATGGATAATGTGGCTCAAATTTAGACTTCAGCTTTTCAGGCAATTTGTTCAACACATTAAGCATCCATCCGACAAGTAACAGCTGCATCCTCTACAAGCTTTGCCAGAATGAAAATCAGACTTTCAAGCTAGCCCATCTGACTTTATACCTTACCATATAGCATTCATAGCTCATTCACACCTACTGGGGGCCAGCAACATAAGAACAAAATAGCTGTATGCGAAGAGCAACCCTCAGTACTCTGCCTTGTAAGCTGTCACCTGTCTTGTTCAAATCACCACACGACCTCCCTCCCCAGTTCACCATGTCTCTGCAGCTCTCCATCAACTCATGGCATCTGCACATTCCCTGCTCTGTCTATAAACATAAATCCACAGATAAGTCTACGTGACTAAGATGCTGCTCCAAGCCATCTCCAAGCAATCTCTAGCCATTATTTACAGCAGCTGCTCACCTCTTTCCCAACCCACTTTGTCTCTGAGTTGCTAAAAAGCCCAGGTCTCTGATGACATACAGTGGGAAATCTGACCAGTCCTTCAATCAAACAAAATGAGGAAAGCAGCTACTTCTGAGTGTCTGAATTTCTGAATACTCTCCCTGTACTGTGAGACACCCTTTGTTGTTCCCTGAAGGATATCCCAACCGACACCACAGGTGTCTTTCTACCAGAAAGGACCTGCTACAAATTGACAAACTTGCTTGACAATACAGCAGCCTTTGAGAGCAAAGCCCCAGGACCACAGTGCAATAGATGAGATCAAACCAACTGGAAACCAGGGAATTTTTCTCATGCCGCCTCCGCTTTTCTCTTAGATCTGGTGTTCCAAATAAATCCTTCCTGGCTTTTCCTTGTTTGACTACTTGTGGTATGTCCAGGAAACACTCAAAGGTGTTTTTCACTTGTAGTTTTAAAGAAGCCAACAGCTGATTGTTCTCTCCACTTCTGTTTATTCCTTTTCTCATCATTCTCAGGTGCTCTGAAGTAGAAGTGGCCCTCATTATTTGTTGGTTTGCTTTTTTCACAGGCATTGAATCACTGAGCTACTAATGCTGTTTAGTACTATGATGAGATGATAATAGAGAATTAAATAAGAAAAAGAATACACATGGATTTTGCCTGATACTGTTACGATACATTCTAAGTGTATACTGCATACGCAGCAAAGGCAGAGAGAAGCTGGGATACAGAAACCAGTTCTCAATGTCAAGTCACTACTGAAGCTGGCTTGGAAATACTGATACTGTCAAAAAGACTATTCACTGTCACAAGCACAAGACTCAAAACAGTAGTGTTTCCTGTGTCTAAGGAACTTATTTCTTTTTCTCTCACCTAATTTCACATTAAATTAAGCCACATGGAGCAGAACAAAGGGCAGTATGGGTTTCAAAAGACAGCATAGGTAATTGTTCCTCTGGAACTTCATTGGTTCATTGCTTAGCTTAGGCTATTTCCTTGCTGAGTGGGAGATGTGGACTCAAATCTTCTGAAACACTTTACCTTGTGTAGCTAAGTTCTAGGAAGCAATGAGTTATCCAGCTAGCCTATGTCAGGACCCTCTGGGCTTGTCTAGCTGCCTCTCCATTCTCATGGTGAATGCAGTTTTTGCTCTGTTGCTACTATTGTAGGGAAAAAAGCTATCACTAAATAACAAAATAGCAGATAATGGGGAGCTGCAATCAAGTAATCAAAAAATAAAACCTTTAATGTTGCTTGCTATTTGATATAACCGTGTCTTAGATACCGGGCCATAGAAAATCCATGGCATAATTTCCACCATTGGCTAAGTGGGGTTGCTGCAGCAGCGAATACAGTATTTGACCAGCAGATTTGTGAATGAAGTTCAGAAAGGTACCACAGTTATTCTGTGACATCTGGCCTGGATCCTTTCCCATTTTAAAGATTTTGTTTTCTTCCTTCATTTCTGTCTCTGCCACATAACTAAATCTAGGCATTTACTCCCAGTAACCAACTTCCTCTTCTCCTCCAGGTCCACAACCAGAGAACAGCCTTTAAAAAGTGTTAGTATTCTGTGGTGTAGTCCTGGAAAGCAATGACTCCAAAAGCTTGGTGTACAAAGATATCTCTGATGTTTCTTAAAAGAGGAGATCATTTTGATTTAGGATTCAAAACAGAAACACTTTACACTGTTGCCTAGAAGGGTGAAATCTGTCCGAGGCCACAAAAGAGTACTGTTTAGTTTAACCTTAGTAGTGAATTCTCTGCATTTGTAAACTTTTTCTCAAGAACCCTCTCCAATTAAGCAAGAAAAGAATTAAGGAAGATATTCATTCACCTTCGCAATCTGTAAAAAATTACTTTAATCTGGAAGAGGTGGTCATTTTATTATAATTATGCAATTGTACTGTAAGAGCTCATAAAAATTATGAACTATTTCTTAAAAAATATATATTGTACTACAGAAGAAATGGGAAAATAAACACAATGGTTTATCAAAATTAATTGCACCCCAATTCCTGCAAGGATGTTTGAATATCTAGGTGTTTTAAGAGCTTTGGTAGCTCTGCAGTAATACACGGACCAGGCATTTACTAAAGCTGGGCCTTGTAAATCTCCTTCCGAAGTGAAGGTCTCCTGTCATCTTTTTGGGGTGAGAAGTACCATGTGCTCTCATCTGTACATTGAAACTCGAACAATATTATTGTTGTTGTTATCCTGAAAAAAAAAAATTAAAGCTCTTGGAACACTTCCAGACCAATGGTTTTGGGCTGCAGAATGGCTCCAGAATGTGAAAAAAGAGCTATGTGCACCAATATTTCCTACGAAAACACTTAGATAAAAGCTTCAGATGTAAGCTTGAGAAATGAGCTTCAGATGTAAATTGCATGAACATCCCAAAAGACAAAGTTGGTCTCAATCACTGTTGACCTTTGGATGTGAAAAGTAATATAAAAGTAATAGTAAATACTGATTGTTTATTTTCCTGCATTTCTTTTTCTTAAGATCCAAATAAATTGCCCGTTCGTGTGAACAAAGAAAATGTGCAGTTACACGAGTGCGCACCACCACACAGCACGGCACGGGCAGAGCCGAGGATTGTCTACTTCGGAGCGACAGGTCTCCGGCACCTTCCGTACCGCATCAGGTTCAGGTAGCGGGGAACAACGCACAGCAGAAGGCTGGAAGGAGCTTTTCCGTGCAAACTGGAAGACGACCCCATTTCCCCGGTGTGGAAAAAGGAGCGGGTGACGGTCTCCTTCCCCACAGCAGCGTCCCGCCGCGCACTTCCGAACTCGGGGTACCCGCGGAGCACCAGGAGCCGTGCGGCGCAAGGACAGCAGCCGGCTCATCGCTGCTCCGCTCCGCTCCGCTCGGCCCCGCCGCCAAACTCTCGGCGGAGCCGCGCTCAGGCGCCCGGCTCGCCGCTCGCTGTGCGCGGTGCCCGGCCTGCCACGGCCGGCACTCTCCGTGCCGCGGAGCGGGGTGCTCCCGGGCGGATCCCCGCCGCCCGCCCCGCCTGCGCGGTCCGTGAGAGCGGGCCCGGGTGCCGGAGGCGGCGGGGAGGGCTGGGACGGGGCCCTGGCCGGGGGTTTCTCTCCCCCCGCACCTCCTCCCCTCTCGCCGCCGGTTCCCGTGAGGCTGCAAGTGCCGCCGCGGCAGCTGGGGGGCCGGCGGGGGATGGTGCCGCCGCCCTGCCCAGCGCCGGAGTAAGGGCAAGAGCTGGTGGCGGCAGGAGCAGCCCCGGCGGCGGGACGAGGTGAGCGCGGAGCGGGGCAGGAGGGTGACGGGGGGCAGCGGGGCCGCCGGGGCAGCCCGCCCTGCCTGGGGGCCGGGGGCGCACGGGGAAGGGTCGGGACGCAGCTGCGGGGGCTGCAGGCGGCGGGGCTCCGCGCCCGGGCCGGGTTTGGCTTTGGGGTGCGGGGTGGGGGCGGCGGGGAGCGAGGGGCTTTCGAGCTGAGCTCGGCCGTGCCAGAGGCAGACGGAACTGCATAGAGGGGCCCCAACGCCTCCCCTCCCCAAATCTGGGGCAGATACATCTAAGATCAGGCGAAGAGAGAAGTTCCCATAGAGCTCAGAGGTGTTTTCTCTGGCTGAAGTTATCTAGAAATAATACTGAGGTGAAGAAAAGCAATTCATAACAAAACTGGAAAGAGCAACAGGTTGCTTTGCTGAAATCACACGTGCTGGGAAAATGTCACCTCCAGTGGACCCGATAGAAATACAGCAATACCAATTTGTAGGGCTTGTTTGGGGACCATCTAACACTCCACAAAACAAATGTTACTGTACGGCTGAAGAGATTTTCTTAAAACCAGCAAATCATTCCCAAACACCTTCATTTTGACTTTTGTGGATACAGGATATGATCATAGAATCATAGAACCATGAATCAAGAACGTATTTTCTCAGGATCTTCCTATGAAGATTACACAGCCCTTATGCATTGGCCAAATGCTTTCTAGCAGTCAAGAAACATCAACATTTACTAATCAACTCTTCACTTAAATTTCCATGATGTCTGTTTTGTGTTTGTACAAACAAAGGCATATGTTTTTAAGCCTTTGATGGGAGCAGCTGAACCATAAAATGCTGGCACTTGCTGGGGGGGGTCTGATATTACCAACACTTTCAATTTTAGAATTGTTCTTAGATGGCTGCATATTGAGAAACTGTTGCTTTGCAGTTGGTTTTTTTTTTTTTTTTTCAGTTCATTTCTTACTTCAGCAGATTGTCTCTGAGAAGACATTGCATGTCCTGTTCTCTCAGATAGTTTCAAGTGACCTGGCTGTGAATAAAACTGTCAACTTTCTTCCCAGTATGGATTTAGCTTGTGACCTGAAATGGTTCCCTTTCCTGGGGAACCATTTGTTTGTTAGGCAAAGGGCTAAGCAATGCTTTGCATTTGCCAGGGCTTTTCAGGGTATGTATGGAGTTGGGAGCAGTCTGTGGTCTGGCTTTGGCTTCCATAGCTTTCTCATTCTGTACAGTCTGCATTTGCAGCCACTCCAGTTGCAAAAGGTAATCACTGTATTTCTCAAGAAATCCAGTTGGCTTTCATCAAAGTTCAGATCTGCCTTCTACATTAACAAAGATGGCCTTTTGCTTCAAAAGAGTTGAAAGAGGGTGGCAGGAAGTCTGGATAGTAATATTCTGACTCTTTAAAAACTGTATCGGGCACACGTTCCAAACAAACTGGATCAATTTCTTCAGCTCTGAGTATGAGGTCTGGTGGCATGCAGGGAGATGGAGGAATAGGAGTCCTTTCTGAATCAGAGAGATCACTGGCACTATCATCTTCAGCATCTTCTTTAACAATTTGTACTGACTCAAAATCAAGAAACATTTCATTCACTGATGCTTCTTGCCATTTAGAGGAGCATGGACCAGCTTCAGCAACGTGTTCTTCGTGATTCTTTTCCAACTGTTCTTTTTTACTGCAATAAAAATGTTGCACTGGGACTTCTTTAACCCTATAGAAGCTACCTGATGTGCTGCCTTTTGTGGCAGGAAGGATCCCTTGCCATCAAGATTCACTTTGCCTTGTTTTTGGGAAATTCCTCTTTGACCCTTGTACTCTGGGCATTGATGTGCAAACACTCATGGTCTGTTTTGACTGACTACTGTCATCTGGTTGGTTTCTTCCCTTTTTAGAAACACTTGGTTGGTTATCATCTTCAGTGTCGCAGGAAGTCTTCTCATTGGTAGTTGGTACATTTTTGCATAATGTACCAATTGCATAATGTAATTTCCAGAGATTTCACATGAGAAACTGATTTCTTTACTCCTTTGGTGCTTGGGTGGCTTTTTCCACTGTAATTTACCGTTCCTTTGTAGTTTTCATTGATTTATCTTACCTTTTGCTGTGTCTTTCGGTGCACAGAACTGATTGATCTTTAGAATTACTTTGATACATGCAACTGTTTGAAGCATTTCCATTTTTGCTGATGTTTTTCCTACTATAAGTGCAGATCACTGTTAGATTCTGCCTTTCCAAAGCGTCTCTGTGTTCTTCCTTTGCAGTGCAGACTAGAATTACCCCTGCTGGGCAGCCCAGACTGGGCTCAGAGGAGCAGGGGAGACAGCACCAGTAACCTACTTCCCCCACCATGGCCACTCAGTCATAGCTGTGCAGGAGGAGGGCTCTGTGTCTGCATCCTTCCCTGGTTTCCCTTTAGGGCCTTGGCTCCATCACAGGCAGCACTTTTTTGCCTCCTACTCGAGTTTCACCAACTGGTGTACATGTACAGAAGATATGCTGGGAAAGGCGAGGTCAGGGGAATATCAGTGAGGTGTTGCTAAGGCCAATTCCCAGGCAGGGTAGTGCCCCTGTGAGCATTTATGCTAATAGTGGAAGTCAGAGCCCTTAACTCCTGTTCTTGATGTAGGGCGGGGCTGGGCAGCTGTGGATTCCTTTCCCTTTCTGTCCTACCTTTCTTGCCTCACCAGTCTGCAGAACTGAGCTCTCATTTCAGCAAGAAATGCAAGTTCTAGCCCTGGAGACAGGATTCAGCTCAGTTTCCAGTGAATTCACTGGGGTTTGGTCACTGACCTCAGTGTTACGATGTCCTGATCCATGCATTTCTTCTGGCTGCATGAGGAGAAAGAATACGATCAGAATGATTATTAAGAATATTTTTGCCAAGGTTTATTGAGTAATGATATAGGGACCTGATGGCTATTCAGATGGAACATTTGGATTCACCTACATATTTACCAGGATGATCCTAACTCTGTGCCTGTGTGTGTCCTATCTCATTATACCAAACTGTCTCAGCCATAATTTCTCAGAGGTCATTGGTGAAATGGGTAGCATCCAGACAAAAAATGGACGTTGTTCTCAAAACAGCAGTAGAACAATGATGATAGAGAAGGTTGTACAGTTAGTTCCCTTGCCAAACTTCAAGACTGAATGGAAGATCCCAGGTTTGTTAGTCTGATGTTCTTTCCACCATTCTCAAAAAGCAGTGCTTCCTTGATATTACATTACCTTGTCAGAAATACCTTATGAAGTATTTGAAAAAATATCAAGTGAGACAATAGGAGCTTGGCAGTAAGCATTCATTGCATCTGCATCTGTTCCAGTGGTTGGAAACAACCTCTTCTGCATAAGTTGATAGGCTTTCTCAGTCACTTATTAACTGAAAGAGTGAGGAATGTGTTACCTGCATTCATTTGTGCGAAGGATTGTAGGAGCATTACTGACACTCAGGTGGACCGAGGAGGCCACTGGCAGAGTGACAGCTTTAGTATCGAAAACATTCTTTTGAGATATTAGGGCTACTTCCAGTTGACTGCAGATTTTATTCAGTTAAGAAAGTGAGGGCAGCTGAACTGCTCAGCTCACAGAACATGGGAGGTCGTAGTCTCCTCATGCGTATGCAGAACGCAAATGAGTGCAGTACAGTGCAGTGACTTCATTCTAAAGATGATTCCAGAATATGGTCTGGACTTGGACACTGACCTTGGGCAAACCATTTCCTTTTAGTTTTCCTGTTTTGAAAGCAGGATTAAGGACAGCATCTCAAACAGTCTTATTGGACGTGTCTCATTTAGAAAAAGTATTTTTAAAGCACCCTGGAATTTCCATACCAAAACCGGGAAATTGTTTTAAAGCTTAATTGCTATATAGAAACATGAAAGCAAAGACATTATGAAGTTTCTTGTCCTTTTGCCCACCATTTTCAGTGGGTTTCAATTGACTGCAATGGTGCATAGCATTAGGCAGCTGCTTCTCTATTTTGCAATCTTACAGCTAGATCCCGTGTATCCGAACTGGCTTTGCACATCTAAATCCAGTTTGGAACTGGAGGGAAAATCTCCTGCTAATTAGGATGACACTTTCTAATCACAGCACAGGGGCATTGGTATTGACATATTAGCCTACCCTGCACACAGTGTCTTGCACTACTGCTGAACAGTTCAGTGAACAACATCCTGAGCACATGGGTCAATTTATGATATGGGACAGCATCTAGTAAGTGCCTGGGTTCTTATTTTTGCTTTTTGACAAACATGTGGTTGGGACAGGGGACAACTGTGAAATAGTAGATATAGTTCTGCAGTATTCTCCTGTGCAGAGTTAGGACCATTGTGCTGTGTCCTAACTCTGGAGGTGGGTTTGAACCATTGCTCTCCAAAACTTCTCAGAATGCAGGAACTCGTAGCTATGGTAGCACTTTGCAAGCTAGTAACAACCATTCCAACGCCCAACACTGGACTGGAAATGGGAATTTGTGGTGACAGCTATAAAGAGAAGAAAAAGAAGCCAGAATAAAAAAGGAAGAATGGGGAAGGAAAAAGAAATAGGAGCAAGAGTGGCAGCAATTCTAACAAAAGAAACACTTTCCAGTGACCA